ATCTCAGTAAAATGGTTTTCAAAAGGTTGAATCTTTCTACTGCATGGTATATGATATACTTTGATAATACTATTAATTTTTAAATGCAAAATTGGGAATTTAAAACTATGCAAAATTGGGAATTTAAAACTATGCAAAATTGGGAATTTAAAACTATGCAAAATTGGGAATTTAAAACTATGCAAAATTGATGGGAATTCAATCAAGCAAAACCAATCGCATAAGGAAGCCAGAACACTTGCAATAAATCTATGGGAAGCAAGATTAGCACAGGAAAATTATAAGCAAAAACCGAGTCGGGATCTTTTGCAAGAAAATTTCACCAGAAACTCTGAAAAGTTTTTGTCTCCATGATTTTTGCAACAGATGTGGGTAATACGACGCGACAACTTCTTGTATTTTAAAATGTTGTCTGCCTACACGATAAAGTTACATTACAGTATTTTACTATCTGAAAACAGCTATACCTGGGCTCATCATTAATCCTTTTAAGTGTGATTCAACTTCTCCCTTATAACTTTGTAGAAAATATTTCGACGCCTTTTCTGGATCTCATTTTGAACGCTGCTAATTTTTTTAAGCAATCATGATTTCTAACAATCTAAAAAAGTGTTCCTGAACCCAACCCGTGATACGCGGACCTGCGCCAGTAAAAAGACATTTTTTGCCGGTCCGCAAGAAAATTTTCTCCTGCATAATACATTTTTCAAAAATAGGAATGAAGTCTTATCTTTATGTGAAATTCTGGAAAGAAAATCGCAGTTTGAATTATCTGATGAAAAATAAAAGTTGGCTTTTCTCTTGAATGCTTAATATACAAATGTTCACCGGCTGAAATAAATTATTTTACTTTTTCAATCTGAGAAACCTTCCTTCAAGTCCAGTTTTCTATTTTTTAAAAAAGACATTCCATTAAAACCCCTTCACTGGTTCTTGACTTAATTTTTGAAACAATCAGAAATAACTGCTTAGCTGTCTGCCATAGACTCTTTCAAACAAACGCGAACTTTTTTGAGTCTGCAAACATTTGACAAAACTTCGCTGATTTTTATTTTGGAAATTTGCTAGTCTGCGAGAAATTAAATTGAAATTTCATTTCGGTAAATAAACAATTCGTTGCGCTTCGAATTTTTTTTTTATTTCCGATTTTTAAGCCGGTCGGTCAGATTTCACATGTTGGAACGACGGATGACAAAATCCCTTAATCACCTGGTTCAAGAATATTTTGGGTGCAAAAAGGTTTGGAAACATTGCTATCAAATATACTGCACAATATTTTAACGAATTTCCAGAAATCCAGACTCGCGTTTCTAGTGCTGACAATCAAATAAAATGGGCATAATTTTGTATTACATGCCCGATAGTCCACCGTGTAGGTCTGTGCACTTGCTGGCCAAAGAACTTGGCTTGGATGTTGAACTCAGGCTGGTGAACTTGGGCGAAAACGAGCATCTTGCCAGAGAATATGTAGCTGTACGTACAGTTTAATCTCTGGTAGGGAAAAATCGACTTTCGAATAATTCTGTCTTACTTTCCAAGTAATAAAATCGAAATTGTGTAACTTTATATCCTAAAATTTCAGCTGAACCCGACTCACACAATCCCAACACTGGATGACAATGGGTTCGTCATTTGGGAAAGGTAATCCATTCATAATTTTATGCCCGCATCATCGTTGGTTACTTCAATATGATTTGCTCAGTGCGTGTATATCTGATTTATTTTTCGCCGTTGATATTTGATCAGTTTGAAAAAATTAAGTGGGAAGTTTTATCAATATTGGAACCAGAATTGATCATCTTTAATAATTACTGCAATTAATTTCTGAACAAGAATCCTCCAAACCGCTGCCGGACCAATAAAAAAGACTTGGCGCACCCCTCAGTTCATTTGCTAAAATTTTGAATTATTTTATTTTAGTCCAGCTTTGAATAACATCTTGCACGAAAATTCAGGAAAACTTACACATTCAACAATTAGGAATGAAAAGTGGGAATAAGAACAGTTTTATTGGATTACAGTTTAAAGATATACGGGCATTTGATAATTAGAATATTTTTGAATTATTCGAGCTAAAGTACAGTACTTGGTAATATAGTACTTAGACTTCTTCAAAACCAAGAAGAGCTATAAAAATATGCAAATCGCATTTTATGACAGAAATAAGGTGAAAACTCAAATTTCTCTCGGCTAAATACACTGCAGTAATGCTTAGAAAAGGTTCAAAAATGATCTGGAAATGATAAATTACAGTAATACTCCGTGAATACTAGTCAATATCATGAATGTACAGTACTGTACTAAGATTCGGAAAATGGGTATAATATTATGAATGTACAGTACTGTACTGAGACTCGGAAAATGGGTATTAGCAACTTCTGTATATTGTGTTGAATTAATACAAAGGAACTTCTTGACTAAAACCGACCGTATCATCATTTTTTTTCACCCCATTGAAATCAAGTCTTCAAGTTTTGAGCGATGTGCACGTTTTTGTAGCCATGCTATCATGCAGTACTTGGCAAACAAGTACTCAAAAGACCATAATCTGTACCCAGAGGACCCGGAGAAACGTGCAATTGTAGATAATCGAATGTTCTTTGAAAGCGGCACTTTGTTCGCCAGGATTCACGCATATGTGGTGAGTAATGCACTGCACTCGTATTTGTCTAATAAATAATATACTGAAGTTGTTCACGATGGTCAATAAGTATCAACAAATATGTATATATCCCACGGAATTTAACTGCATGCAAAAATTAGAATAAAAGATCGATCACATAATTTCTCATAACTAGCCATCAGTCATCAAACTTACCGACTTCACCCATTTTGCTTCACATAAGAACGTGTCTCATAAATGTTTCATAACAATATTATTATTTTTTCATGAAATTACAACTACAGAATTTATTTTCTGAGTTTAAATAAAGCCATCCGGGAAAATCCCAAATTGCCTAATGAAGACATCTTATGAATTCGTCCGCAGTTTTTCGTAATTTCCGAATTGATCCCCCTATTTATTTTTTCTAGAGAGCTAAACCTTCAAATTTTCCAACGCAGTATGACGATTTCGGTGTCCAGTTCAAAAATCTGGAAAACTGATGAAAAATGAATCAGTTTTTCACATCTCACGCTCGTCTTGAGAGTAAAGTAACGTACTGTATGTAGTAGATATTTTGGAAACGTTTGAAGCCATGCAACCAGCATTTATATTGTCAGTAATGCATGTTGTTCTTATTACTTCTACATAGTGAATGAGAAAAAGTAAACGCTTTTACAAAACTGTAGCATTACACAACAGCACTGCCTCCTCCAAGCAAATAAACTCGTCGTACGTTTGAAAGTCAACGCACAAAAACGACATGATTCCACCCGATTTTGAGGATTCATTTGAACTTGACACAACAGAATCGATCGAAGATAATTGTGGAAAGACTGTACGTAATTAATTCAGATATGAATCTCTCATTAAAGTGCAATCGTTCATTCTCTGACGACTTGGCGATCGTGATGATTCAAAGAAGACTACTAAAGAAGTGGGCTCTGTCTACAACAATCTTGTGTACAACGATTTTCTCTGTATATAATGAATTTTGTTTCGGTCCCAAAGGCCGCATAGGGTTTGTTCCCCATATATTATAGGGGCCCCTTACGACGAAATTCTCTCAACAGTACATCCAGTACAGCGATTTTTTCTGACCCCTTGAATTTCTTGGTAGAGTGCCCCTATAATATGGGGAGTAAATCCGACATGCGACCAAAAAAAATTTTTTTTCACAGAGAAACGGATATTTTCTCTACAACGATTTTTTTCGATAGTCTCTTAATTGAATTTCGTTGTAGAGAGAGTCCACCTGAATATGGCAATCTGCGTCAATGACGAATATGAGCATACGTTGTCGATTAAAAAAAATAGTGCAAAAATTTAGCTACAGTATTCACAAACTTTTCAGGTTCCGGTGATTAGAGGCTTTGCTGATCATTTTTCATCAGCGCAATGGGAAAAGGTTCGCGAAGCTTTGAGCTGGTTGAACGAATTCCTGGAGAAATCCGGGGGCTGGGTTGCGGGTCCGCAAAAAACCATCGCCGACATCAGCATGGTCAACAATATCGCCAACGTCGAAGTGAGCAAATTAAAATTCCTCGAAGAAAGAGTAAAAATTGTTAATCCCTTCCTTTATTTTTTTGATGAAGAAATTTTCAGGAATTCACGACTTCCAGCTGGTCAAATACGAGCACTTGTCCGCGTGGATGAACAAGTGCAAAACCGCGTTCAAATACTACAACGACATCGTGGAAAAGGGGGCTTTAAACTGGGAAGAATATTTCCTCGAGCTTTCAGAGGGCAAGGAAATGAAGTGATCAAATCAATGTTCTCATCGCTCAAAATTGTGTTCAAGTTCAAATACTACAACGACATCGTGGAAAAGGGGGCTTTAAACTGGGAAGAATATTTCCTCGAGCTTTCAGAGGGCAAGGAAATGAAGTGATCAAATCAATGTTCTCATCGCTCAAAATTGTGTTCAGAAACGCTCAACAAAATTAGGATTATGAATAAAAATTTACAGTTTCCCTTTAAATTACTCAGGGTTTGCCAAAAACAAATTGAAAACAATTTAAAATGGAAACTCGTCGCAGTCGGATGAAACGGGACGAACCAATTTCAGCTTCTTACCTGTCAATTTGAAAAATACCGTTCGGTAAATAACACAAGAAAATATGTTTGCCGGAGAGATTTCCTGTCGGAAAGGGCATTGCCTTTGTTTTTTTTTCATGATTCTTCGAAAATCTATCAATCACGAAAACCATTAATAAAAACGGTCGCTGACTCTGAGCATTCTCTGTTGGAATAACTGATGTGCCAGGAATTTTCTGATGTGTGCCAAAATCAAAGCTTTTGCCCCAACATATTGCACTGGGTTACATTTGCGTTCAGCGAATATTGAACCAATTTGTAAAAAAAAAATTAATTGACTGATGTTTTTCTTGAAACTTGGTTTATATCAGCAAGGTCTTCGTGTTTCGAACGAATAAGCAGTGAAAAATATTTTTTCAACTTGCGGAAGTTTCAAAAAATGGGAATCACGTTGTACTACTTGCCCCACAGCCCTCCGTGCAGGGCTGTTCATCTTCTCGCAAAAGAACTTGGGCTTGAAATCGAAATCAAAACCGTGAACCTCCTGGAAAACGAGCATTTGAATCCGGAATTTATTGCGGTGAGTTTGCATTCTTGATTAAATGTCCTTTTTATAATGCAAAGGAAATCTTTGAGCAATTATAAGGACGAATCATCCACTGACCAGGAAAAAATTGCGTCTTAAAATTGGCGACATTAGAAAATGTCGGGGAAAAGATAGCAAAAAATAAATCGTTTCTGAAAACTTCACAAATAATTTCGGGGATAAAATGTCGCGTTGAAACAGGTTCCTGGGAAAAAATTTGACAGTGTGAAAGCGAAAAAGGAGGAAAATAACAGAGGAAGAAAATCGCGAAGAATAAGTACCTATAGCTCGAGAATGCCACAAACAATTCTTTTTTCGCAAAAACGAATCAAGAAAGAGAAAAATGATCGGAAATAAAAGATTAGAAATTACAGGACAGAAAACAAAATTGAGCTAAGTTACCCTTAAATGAATTGTATAGAATGTTCAGCAGAAGTTTAAAAAATATCACTTCGTTTCCTCCAAAGATTATCTTTCCCCTCCGAGACAATTTCTCCACTCCGGCGTTTTTTCCACGCCAACATTTCATCGCCCCGAATTTATCGACATCTCTCGAAACTTGATATGTTGTTTTGAAACTTGATATGTTGTTTTGAAACTTGAGCTGAACACCTTTTTCTTTCCCTCGTCCTTATTATATTAGATAAATCCCATGCACACGGTTCCCGCCTTAGACGACAACGGATTCGTCATCTGGGAGAGGTTTGTTTCCCTCTGAAAATTTTCTGCTGACTCAGTGACACAAGCATCAGATCGTCTTAATGTTTTTCTTGAAGCCATGCCATCATGCAATATTTGGCAAACAAATATGGAAAAGAAGACGATGGATGGTACCCGAAAGATCCGGAAAAAAGAGCAATTGTCGACAATCGCATGTTTTTCGACGATGGGACATTATTTTCCGCCATGCGAGGCTACGTGGTAAGTTTTTATCCTTTCTGATTATTACCACGAAAGATTTCTGCAGTTGACAAAATCCCATTGCGAAAACAAATCACGCAAAAATAAACATTCCGTAAATTAGAAATAAAAAGTACTGCATTGTATAGTTTGAGAATAATAGAACATTACATCAAGTTCTGCCTTTTTGCGTGCCTTCCAAGATACACAGTACTCGAATAAAACTGAACACGGCAGAATTTCGAATTTTATATTAATTCATCTGAGTTTACACGTGTATTTCTTGTGCTACCGTATATTTTTGTTCTTTATGTAAGGCATTTTTATCGCGGCATTTTCACCACCGCAGCGTTTTTCCTGATGCTTTAGCATGATACAAAATTTTCGGTTGCATGCGGATGCAGCACTTGTTTCCTCATTGAATGGATTTGTGATACTTTCTATGTTCAAAGTACCCCGTCTTTCGACAAGAAGTCGAGCATTTTTCCTCTTCCTTGAGGACAAAAATGAAGGAAGCTTTGGGATGGCTTGATGGGTTCATTGAGAAATCCGGAGGATGGGTCGCGGGTCCGAACAAAACCATCGCCGACATCTGCCTCGTGGGGACCATGTCCAACATCGAAGTATGATTTATTAGAACACAGCAGATTTACATCTGAATGATTATATTTTATTCTATCTTATCTATTAAATCATACAAACTGCCACGTATATTTGGTTTCCCCAAGGATCGCGACATCTACAGATATTCTGGATCTATAATACATTTAATTTAAAATCCATCATCGCAGTTGACAACCATCTATAAAAAGCTGAAGTTATACACTTTTGAACGGTGGTCCGTGGACCGGCGCCAATCCGCAGAATTATTCCCGCCAACCAGTTTTTTGCTGGTTTGCGCAGGAAATTTTCTACACCATTATAAATTTATCAAAGGTAGTGATGTATCTTCATCTGAAATTTTGGAAAGAAGATGGCAGTTGAAATTATCTGACAAAAAATTAAAATTTTTCCTTTCTTTAAATAGCACTTCAGACAAATGTTCACACGCTGAAATAAACTATTTCAAGTATGAAGTACTGTACTGTATTCATTCTCAGAAACCTTTCATAGGTTCTCAACTGAATTTTTGCGATACATTTTTTGTTAGAGGATTATATGGCAGGCATTAAACATTTTTAAAATGTTAAATGACACCCGAGACAATGTCTGGAATCTCTCATACAGACATACTGTTCTGCCTTACAATTTCTAAGAAACGATCGAGTGGGGTGATCGAATTTTAATAATTTTAAGACTTTCCGCTGCCTCGTTAAATTGAATGTGTGGTCACATTATAGTTTAATGGATGAGGACAGTATTGATCAATACAAACAGCTGCTTCTCCATGCGTGGCTTATGATTTTTTAGATAAAATTCGAAGGATTTTCAGGCAAACAATGGCAAAAATGGAAAAATTCAATCTTCGCACTTAATTGAAACGTTCGAACTCCATGATGTAAATCAGGACAGAGGACAGTATACTGAATCGTCCAAGGAGGAAATAAGTTCTCCGGAATTCCATTTACGTTTAGAATGTCACTAAGAAATCCCAGCATTTAAAGAAAGAAATGTAAGCCATGTAGAATAAAAAAAGTGTCACAGTTATCATATAACAGCAAAAAAGAAACCACATAAGGCTACACCGGCAGCAGCTGCTGACGATGGGCGCATTGTCTTCTTGTTCATCCTCGCTTAGGGATGTGAAGTCCAGTCTGAGATATTACTTCCTAAACCATTTTCTATTTTTCCAGAAAATGCCAGGGATTCACGACTTCGAAGTAAGCACGTACAAACACATCGAGGAGTGGATGACGAGGTGCAAAGCCGAGCTGAAGGACTACGACGAAACTATGGAACAAGGCGCTTACAAGTGGCTCGAAGTTTTCAAAAAAATCGCCGAAGGCAAAGAAATAAAGTGAAATTTAATCATTCTCTTTTGCTTCTACTGTATACTCGATCGTTTTAACGTACACGGCAAGCACGAACTAATATATATGCATAGAACACGCGTCCTTCGGCCTTTCTTCGTCAATTTTATCGCATTCGTATTCAATTAGAGGTCGAATCGAGAGACTTTTAGTGAAATTTATGCTGTGTGTTCTGGTGGAATGAAAAGCGCTTTTTTTCGCACGGAATTCTGGTTCTGTTTCTGAAATCGCCCCCACTTTGGTCGAGATACAGGATGATTTGAAATGTTATGCATGATTCGTCGATCGTTGCATAGCAGTGATCATCACGCATGCGAAAAATCAAGAACAAGATCTCGCAGTTATCGTCGTGTGAGGTACGTGTTTCAAGCAGATAACACAGCTGAATCACGCAAGAATGCGGATCACTCACGTCCATTAGGTTGAGTGAGATATTCCCGAACATTTCTACAGAAAGATAAGAAGTCATCGGCTTCTCGTGTTGATTATAGTCTCATGACGAAAGTCACCACATCTCAAGATTTTGGAGCAGAGACCTCGAATGTTCGACCGGATCACGCGCGCAGGAAATTCCGTTCATTTCTCATCAAGTGTATTTTGATCATCCCGTGTCATTTTCGAAGTCTTCCCATCGACAGACTTTGAAATCGGAACGTTATTCTGAATTATAAAAATGGGGGTGGATTTCTACTATATGCCCTTGAGCCCCCCGTGTCGAAGTGCTCTTTTGGCTGCGAAAGCCTTCGGCATCAAATTGGACTGCAAGCTTTTAAACCTAATGGCTGGGGAACACATGAAACCGGATTTCTTGGCAGTAAGACAATACTGAAATCGATATTTCTGAATCGAATCTCATCGCGGAAATTTGAATATTGACGACGATCGTACGTAAATCTTATTCGGCAGATTAATCCTCAACACCATATACCGACGATAAACGACAACGGATTCATTTTGTGGGAAAGGTTCGTTCGCTCATCGAACTTCGACTTTTCAGATGATTTCATAATTTTAGCGAAATCTAATCTTTCTTTGATTATTTGCGCGAACTAAGGATATGAAGCTTTAAAAAAGCAGCCTTTTCATCTTCCTCCCATTAAAGTTTTGAAAATGTTGAGAAAAATGCGCAAAATTATCCTTCCGATTTAGTATAGAACGTTGAAGAAGAAACATGCAACCAGCGTCAAAACTCATACTCATTTCGTATCGCATAATTAATTTCATTGGACGTGCTTTCTTGAGACATATACACGATATACAGTACTACATACATCAATGCACAAAAAACGAGGATGGAAGACGCAATTTAAATATAGCGAGCGTCTGATTTTCCAAGAGCTTCTATATCAGTTAATACATTTTCAACACGCTCTTTCAAGTCTTTTCCAAATGGACAGCATGAAGAAATAAGACCAGTGAACGTTCTAATAATGGACTGTTCCAAAAATATTTCTATAGTCTTTACGCCCGAGTTCGCTACTCCATTCATGAAATGAAAAATTTCTTACTTCCTTTAAAATATCTGATGATAATTATCGAATGCGATGGGCTGCATGTTGATTTGAGGCTCTATTTGACATAGTGAAGTTGCATGACCTTACTTCGATTCAACTTAAGTTGACAAACCCGAAAAGAAGCACACATTTATGTGGTACAGTAGAATACTTGAATAAAATGGAGGCGTAATTCTCACCAAGATATTTCCAAACACGGCAGAGGTCATGCCAAAATGACTTGCTTCAACAAACCGCCCCTAAATTACTATCTTAAAATAAAACATGTTTTGTGATACGCTGAAATAATTTGCAGTGGTAATGCATTCACCCTTGTCCTACCAGTTTGTGTTATATTACTTATACAAAGATCACAATCAATTCTACAACCTTGAAGTTAAAATAACAGAGTAAAAATATGTGTAGCATGTTGAAAATAACAGTAGTGATAGGAAGAAACTCAAACGTATGCATCATCCCTTGTCGAAAAAAGACATATAGTAAATCCAATAAACTTTTAACTTGTACATCGATTCTCACAGCCGAGCAATCATTCAATATTTCGCCAATTCGAGCCCGAATGGTGAACACTTGTACCCTAAGGAACCCGGAAAAAGGGCTCTGGTAGATCAAAGGATGTACTTCGACCTTGGAACCCTGTACGAGAGATTCTACCAATTCGCGGTAAGTTCAGCAAACTCCTACCATTTTCATCGGTGATTCCGAATTCAGGTTTCCAGATTCCATTTATGTTCGGACGGGAACCAGCTCTGAATCCAGAAAAGAAGGCCAAAGTTGAAGAGGCTTTGAGTTTGCTAGACGGGTTCATTGAAAAATCAGGAGGATGGGTTGCAGGTGATAAAATGACCATCGCCGATTTCGCCTGCGTGGCTTCCGTTGCTACAATCGAGGTTTGTTCGAGAACTTCCTTCCTGTTCCGTGGAAAAAGAAATAATCCAAACTTCAACCAGCATTACAATACATTATGGGGCACAACTCCTGTAGTGCTTACCGTACATTTGAAAATTTTGGAATCTATTCGTCAATTTTTGTAGATCGGCATTGTCAAAGGAACGGTAGAAAATGTAGAATCTTATGCGCGTAGGACGTTCACGAACTTCCTTGCAAAGCACACAACTTTTTTTCGCGGAAAATCCATTGAAATCTCATTTTAAACTTAACATGGTTGACTAACAATTTTCATGATACCTCAGGAATAAGGGTCAATGTCCAATGAAATGCACATGCACCAATTGGTAACTTCGAAGGGCAAATGTTAATTAATCATGAACATTCTCACTAAAATGCAATACGCATGTGACACAAACAAAGGTTTATCGCAACACGTCGGATTTATCAGAAAGTCAATGTTCATAATTACGTGTCAGGGCTCCACGAATGTGGAATGACGTCTAATCTTCTGAAATCCTTTCAGGAAACTGGTGTCCTCAACATCCCAAAATACAAAAATATTTGCCAATGGCTCGCGAAATGCAAAGCAGAGATGAAGGGCTACCCTGAACTGAATCACGATGGCGCTCAACAGTTCGGACATATCTTCAAGTCAAAGCTAGAAGCAGCGAGCAAATAATCTTCAGCGTATCATCTTCTTAAGAAAAAATTGAAGAGAAATTAGTGACGTACATTATTTCAAGCCGGGAATCATTTCATTAATTCTGTCCAATTGAGCTTAAATAAATTTAATTACTCAAGGAATTGGTCAGTTTTCCACGCTTTTGTAGTCAAACCATCACGTTGAAATGGAAGTAAAATATCTTCGGCCATCCCAGAAAATCACTCACAATCTCAACCAGAAATCGCTGATTCATCGAAAACTTTTGAGCTTCAACGATTCCCTGTTGAATAATCTCTCATGTAGAAAATGCTGCGTGATCGAGCATTGGAAACGGCCCTCCAAGTCGGGAAGCGCACTCCCTCGGATTAAGGTAAACTAAAAACTCGAACGACACACAAGTACTTGATGGACAAAAACTGAAAATTGGATCAGTTTGAAATACAAAAACATAGTAGCATCCAGATTCTAAATCCGGAAAGAGAACTCCTATAACACGGGGGGGGGGGGGGGGGGGGAAAACAAAAAAAAAAAAAAAAAAAACATAACGAACCGGAGGGGGGGGGGGGGGGGGGGGGGGAGAACCAAGAAAACAGGAAGTCTGTACAGTATAACCTATGAACACGTACAGCCTTTCGCGTGAATGATCAGATTTTTTGCACTCCTATCGAAAAGTTGCAAAAAGAAATGCACGCGCGAACTAATATAAAAGTCGATATTTATTTCACGCACATCCCTTAGCTATCCTCATCATAACATCCCGTAGCCTGATAAAATCTCACGAAAAATCCATGAGGAAAGCCTGCTCAAACAAAACTCTCACATGGTAGAACGCACGCTGTACAACGAAGACTATCACTTGGCGAGAAGCACGAATTTTATAAAAATGGGGATTAGTTCACAATATCTCACACGTCGCGCAAAAGAAAATTCCAGGACAACTTTGTTCTTGATGACCAGTAGAAGAATCTGCGATCTTTCCCACCACTCCATATTGAGTTCTCACTTAGTGGCCTCGGCGCTCGTTAGCTTCCGGCGAAAGGGGAGGATGTGAGGTTCTGCCGAGTAAAATTCAAGCATGCTCAATATTACTTATAAAAAATACGGTTAGAACTACTCGAGATTATCATAAACTTCGAGAAGAAACAGTACGGCTTCGTGCGATAGAACTTCCGTAAAAAATAAATTTGCTATTAAGTTGAAAAACCAAACCGGCAAGAAAAACGTCGGATTCTTACCGGGATTATGAATCATGTAATGTTCCCAGCCAACACTCTGCTGGATACCCATGCGTCTCCATTCAGATTCTGTCATCAGACCAAGCGACTTCAACTTTTTTCCCAGATGCGAAGGACAGATCACGTGCCTGAAATACATCAAATCCATGAAATACTACTTCTCCACGAGGTACTTATGTGCAATGTTCATTACCTATACTCATAATTGTTGTCCGTATACTTGTCGGAGTAGTATATGTCATTGATGCTAACACGAGGGAGATTCCTTTCTCGAATGTCTGTAACCGGTTAGCAAAAAGGCAGCATGATTAATGAGCTCAAAGCATGAAATGGCACTTCATGACTTACCAAGCGTCGTCTTGGATGAAGTTTTCACGATTTCCGTCGGCATTTTGTGCGACTGATGGTTAAGATAAGCCTGACGAGGTATTGAATACTAGATTGAAAATGTTAAATCCCTTGATATGCAACCGAAACTAGATTCAGCAGGCTTTTACAGCGAACAAAAATGACTGGAATCGATCGTCACGTCCGTCGATCAAACAGAATTCTTCTACAAAAATAAATACGCACGACCTTCTGATTACAATGCTCACTTAGAATAACTTCAAAGAATCTACGGTTCCATTCATGATTTCACGGAAACTTGGCTTCACGCAATTTACTTATCAAGTCACGATGATGACAAGTTTCGCAACGCCAAACAGTGGCGACGTAATTCAAACGTCGAGCATTTGAACAGCAATCGAACGGCGCGCACTCAATTACTGAAGACAACTCTAGGTCGGAACACAGTAAGGCACACTACTGTACTGACTTACAGCGTCCTCTCGAGAATATCTATCGAACTCAAAGTGGGCGCTAGCCGTGGATGGATCTGTTAGCTGATTTTTTAAATGAAATTTTCTCGAGGTACCTTATTTGCTTTGAAATTGCTTCATGTTTCGTTAAAATTTGAAATTTCTCCAGATTACATCGGAACTTTCACTCTGCTATACGCCTCGAGTGCAAAATATCAGGTTTCAATAAAATTTCTTGAGACGGAACCGTTTTTATGGATGATTCGCTTTTTTTTTTACCTTGTTCAGAGAAATTGAGGCATCCGATGCAATGATTTATGCACACAGTGATTAGGAGTAAGTCCTCATAATTTTTCTTCTTTGAAAATAAATCTGAAAATTCTGAATCCTTGTCATAGCACTTATCTGTGATCTCCTGATAGCGTGGTACAGTAAGATTTAGTGTACAGCACGTAATATGCTGTGAGCATTTTTTAGAGTTTCATGTAAAAATTGGTTAGAGCACCCATACTTTTGTTTTAGAAATCGGAACCTTTGAAAATCTCACTGAAACAAATTAAATGTGAGGTCATTTTCTTACAAAGAAATTTTTGCTCAATACGTTATCTGTGAGCAGAAGAATTACGTTGAATATTTTCCACATAATGTTCTCAAAGTGTTTAGAAATCGCCCATTGAAGCTTACCAATTTGTCTTAATCTATAACAAGTTTCTCAATTATGTAGTTATTTGAAAATCGTCATTGCAGTCACACTAGTAATGAATTTCATGGTTTCCATGTTATAGTCTCAGTTTATTCCAAAAACATCTATTATGACCATCCCACGTATACCGTACCTTCCACGTACACCCACGCTCAATGGGTACCCAACCAAAAGCCCCCCCCTGCCAAAAGCCCCCCCCCTAGGTCAAAAGCCCCCCCGGAAAGCCCCCCCTGCCTAAAGCCCCCTAGGTCAAAAGTCCCCCCCTGCCAAAGCGGCATGCCTTAAAACTGCTGCTATACAGTATTTCAGTATAATTATACGATACAACAGCTTTGATACTTCTTTATACACATTAAATCAGGAATTTTCCTATAATGAAGGGTTCCCGATAAAAATAGCTTTTTGATCGAAATACCGGTATATTCAATATGAAAATAGCTGTAAAAGAAAGACTACTTCGAAATATTTCCAGATGACAGTGTTCGCGAAGCCTTGTGAAAACTTCCTGCATACATATTGAAGGATCATATATTGTACTGGTGTTATGGTGAAAAAAGCACCCTCGCAATTTGCAAAAGTGAGGAAAACCCAATAGGTTACAACCATTCGCGAGAATTAAGCTTCATTTATACAGTACTGTAGTATAAAAAAGTACTGTACCACTTCTTCCGAACATGCGTGACAGGCTTTATTCAAGAAACAACAAAAGTTTATCCTAAGCGAAAGAAAGTACTTGTACACTGGAAGACAAATGTATGTCAGCATATAGAGATGAACCAATCGTCATTTAGTTTATTCATCTTCCATACGGACAACAATCTGTACTGAACAAAATAGATCGTACTTAATATTTCTTTAATGGAATATTCTTGACCGCACATTTATAAAACAGCAATTTTTGTGTGGAATCTATGCTTTCCCGGTTCGCTCGTTTTGGAAAACTTACAGATAGATTCCACGAATAACCTGCTGATACTGTTAAATAAAGAAGCATTCCAAAAATTGAACTATCGTACTGTACGGTATTGCGAGTTGCATAATTTGTAAATTCACCTTTTTTTATAAAACAAGCATTTTTTAAAGATACTGAATAATGAGAAAATTGAGTCATTCTAATATTTCGAGTTCAGGCTGCATTATTAGCATTACGGTCCATCAAGGCATGAAGATTTGCTTATAAATCCATTTTTCAGGTGGACATTTTCCATTTTTTAACGATTTTAAAATTCTTTCACTAATAAATATTTTTGTGTAAATTAATGTGCGTTACTTTCATGCGTTCATTCACGGAATACCCTGCTCTGAAAACCGTCGAGGTAATCCGTGCTGCATGCAAAAATAAGTATTTTTTAGCGTGACTCCCAAGGGATTCCCCGCCCCCGAAGGCCGCTTTTTCTGCGAAGGCCTGCACGTACAACCTTGAAGAGTGGGGGATTTTTGCGTGGGGGATTTTTGCATGATCACATTATCGATAGTGCAGCAGCAGCATAAAAGCTGCATCCAATGAAGGATGATGACAACTGTCTGAAAGACCTGTTGCAGCTGTAGTAGTGTTTGTTATGGACTTATTTTGGTTCCGGGGCGATGACGGGGGGAGTGCTGAAGGTTATTCGGGGAGTAGTTTTTGTACCACTGAACGATCTTCGGTTGCTGCCTGGTCAGTTGTTGATCGGTGATGCTGCAGAGATCATGTGTGACCCTGATGTTTTGTGTCGTGTTGATGCAAGTCGAGGAAAAAACGTTGTGTTCAACTTGATGCTATTGTATAACCTGTTGGTGCATCCTTCGAACAAGTCAGGCGCAAATATGCTCTTTATTTTCGAAATTCGCAAGCTATATGGCATTCATCAGCACTTGCGCCGTTGACTTTTCGAGAAATTAAATCATTCACGCATTTGTCGTTCAAAGTACAGTGTACCGGAAAAGCGAATGCGTAAAAGATTTTTCACTTCGAAGGAGGAAACAAGGCTAGCATTCGATAACCTATTGTATTCTCGCATTACACGTGAAACGCGCATACTTATTCAATTTCGATTGAGAACAAAAAAAAATCAAGGATTGTTCTCGAATTTATACGGCTCGTGAGATTCGCGTATATTTCAGGTGCTGACTTCGTGAATAACACACGTTTCCACCGCTATTATAGTGACTATATAATTTACACAGAAAACTGACATATTTCTGGAGATTGATATAATATGGCAATATGTATTCCGCAATACTTCTGGCTGCCGTGTCACTTTGAAAATAGAACGAAAATGGCTCAAATAGGTCAAACTGTTTTTTCCACATGTGCGCTTCGAATAATTTCGATTTTTCTTTTGTTCTATAAGCTCGTCATCAGTAGCTGTAGAAGTCCAAATATGTTCACGAGTGATAAATTGCTGGCGCATTCGCTATGAATATTTGTTATTTTCTTCTCGATTGAAAGGACAGTCAAACTATTACGGTACACTTGCAAGCTAATAATTTAGGTATAAATAAAATTAATAGCGTTACGTATAACAATAATGCATAAAGTGCGCATGACCCCCGTCTGGAAATGCGTTTTTGAGGGGATTTTGTCATCTAAAATTTTGTGAATGTTGATCTTCAGTGCGCTGTTAGCGAATACATTGCAATTTCCTGGTGAGACAAAATGCAATTTGTCTCGCATCCGCCAATAATCAACTCGTTTCAATTTAAGAGGTGTTGTGGAAAATTACGGTAGATATTGGGGGGGGGGGGTCGTGGAATTTATGAATCATATTGTATTTATCGTATTCAACTAAAATGCGCAAAAAGACGCTCTTTTTTCTTCGATCGATGCGCTTCCAACTGCTGCATGAACTCCTTGTAGAACAATGGATTCATTTCTGCAATTGAAATAATATGTTATCAAATTAATGTCATGCATGCGGAAATACATATTATGGATCATTCCCCAGCACAGGTTGAAAGTGCCAGTGAAACGGATCACAATGAGCCTGAGAACAATATTGCAGCGATTTTTAAGAAATCGGTCTGCAAGTCACTCCTTCTCACCGAATGGAATCATCATCGAAGATTCGAAGCTGTCAAGTAAGTTCATTGCCCTATAGATAAATAATCAGTCACGCAATAACACAAAATGTATTTAAATTGATTAATTTTCACCAAAGTACATTATCGGTGCAGGAAAAAAGAGAGGTGGGCTTTCCATACAATATTTGATACGATTTCCTACAGTAAGATGAGTGAGTCAAGGTTGATATTGTTCCGATCAGTGACTTACGTTCGAAATAGGAAACATCTGTGATGAATTCAACTGAAGGATGATTCAAGCCGATGTACGTTGAATAGATGCTGAATTTTTGAATGAGAATATGGTGCGTGTCGATATCTTTTCGATTTATTTATAGACACCGGCTCCAAAAAAAAAAAAAAAAGGACACCCAGTGTGTGGCTGGGTCGGGATTCCCGATTTTTTCCCCAAGGTTTCCTGGTGCAAAGAAAGGTCTTTTAGAGTTCTGCTGATCACTAAAATATTTTACTTGCTTATAAATGAAACTTTTTATCCAAGCTTCACTTATTTTTCAGTAATTTGGAATAGTAAAATGCATCCCCCACCTTATCAACATGTGAAGCTGAGGTGTAACCAAAAATGGTTTTATAGGAGCCCCGAGTTAACCTTTGAGGAGCACCAGTAATAATAAGAGTTTTAAAAAAGGGAGTGGTTTATAAAACAGAATATTTGGCAATCAAACTCCAATGTCTTCCTTGGCGCTGTTGAATATGCTGTTCCGGGATTTTCCAGGATTTTTAGCTGTTTTGTTGAGCAGCCGCATTTACAGTGTGCCAATTTTCATTAGAATATTCAATCAATTGATACCTAGCTGTCACTAGAAAAATCGGCGATTCAATATTTTCGATGCACGAGTAAAAAAAAATCCAACCAGCAGACTTTCAAATATAAGACTTCCTCTGTGACGATTTATTCGCCGTCAAGATTAATTTTTCTTTTATTGACAGATCCTATAACATTTAGAAACAGTTTTGAGCCCTTTTTTATTTTTCCGACGAAATCTCTGCCCCCCAAAGTGGTCCAAAAATGAATTTTGTTACTCGCGCTTTTTCATATAATTGATATATTTCTTTCGAAAATAAAATCCATTACTGCAATGAAGATTTTCATGTGATTTGTCTACTTTTTAATGAAACCGTACATTTTCAAAACCCTTGATGTCGAGTCATGCTTGGACTGCATTTTGACAAATCATAGCCAGGAAGTATTCGGTACAGGGTCAAATGATCGCCGCAAGTACAACTGAGCGTTATTAGGACAGATTATCGCCAGGTGGGAACATAAATCAGCTTATTCAGCCAATTTTCTAGTTGACTGAAAGAACACGTCGTTACACAAATTGCAAGCCATTATTTTCTCGTACCTGACACTTCAGCGTTGATAAATATTTTATAAATGAGTGCTGGTATGTATTCCTTTGATTAGAGAATTTTTTTTGTATTGGTGCAAAAACCTTTGAATATGGTAAAATATTGCTGTTACTGCCGGTAAAACAAATCAACAGGAAATATTAAATATACGTGGGGCTAATTGAGTGAAATTATGCGATTTGAAAAGTTCAAATCAGGAAACCTTATTTTTATTTATTCTATACAACGATTTTACCTACCAACATTTTCTTCGTATGTGGTAATTTTTTGTCCCATAGAATTCTTTCTTCAGGTTATAGGAGTTCTCAACAACGAAATTCTCTCTTCAACGATCTTTTCTGGTCCCTTGAATTTTGTGGTAGATGAGAAGGTCCACCTGTATTAATTATTGAACCAACGCTATGCTTAAGAGATACTCGGCAGTTTCCTAAGCTCTCAACTGGAAATTTTCAACCGTGTGAATAATTTCTGCACACGGACCTTCAAATCGTTTGTTTCTTTACAAAAAAGAGCTTATTTTGGGAAATAATTTTGAACTGCGTCCGATGGAATTTCAGACATGAACGATCTCGCCTGCCCGACGCGGTTCACGGAAGTGAAATTGGACGAGCCGAGTTCCAGCGAAGCGTCGACAACAGTAACGGAAGTGTCGACCACGGGCATCGGTGTCGACGGCAGCAGCAACGACACTGCTGTTGACGAGCACCACCCGGAACGTGGCACCTGGAGCAACCCTGTGGAATTCTTCCTCACGTGCCTGGGTTACACTGTTGGACTGGGCAATCTCTGGCGATTCCCTTATCTGGCGTATGCCAACGGCGGAGGTGAGTTNCGAAATGTTCAAATCAGGAAACCTTATTTTTATTTATACAGGTGGACACTATCTCTACACAACGATTTTACCTACCAAAATTTTCTTCGTATGACGTATTTTTTTCGTCCCATAGAATTTTTTTCTCAGGTTATAGGAGTTCTCGACAACGAAATTCTCTCTTCAACGATCTTTTCTGGTCCCTTGAATTTTGTGGTAGATGAGAAGGTCCACCACTCCACCTGTATTAATTATTGAACCAACGCTATACTTAAGAGATACTCGGCAGTTTCCTAAGCTCTCAACTGGAAATTTTCAACCGTGTGAATAATTTCTGCACACGGACCTTCAAATCGTTTGTTTCTTTACAAAAAAGAGCTTATTTTGGGAAATAATTTTGAACTGCGTCCGATGGAATTTCAGACATGAACGATCTCGCCTGCCCGACGCGGTTCACGGAAGTGAAATTGGACGAGCCGAGTTCCAGCGAAGCGTCGACAACAGTAACGGAAGTGTCGACCACGGGCATCGGTGTCGACGGCAGCAGCAACGACACTGCTGTTGACGAGCACCACCCGGAACGTGGCACCTGGAGCAACCCTGTGGAATTCTTCCTCACGTGCCTGGGTTACACTGTTGGACTGGGCAATCTCTGGCGATTCCCTTATCTGGCGTATGCCAACGGCGGAGGTGAGTTTGTTTTCCGGCAATGAAACATAAGCAGTAAACATCATTTCTTTTTTTCGGCTTGCAAAAAATAAAAAAATAAAAATTTGAAATATCACCGCGCTTTCGAAGTCGGTGGGTGTGAATATTATTTTTTATTTTTTGGAGAACGTATGAAAGGCCGGGTAGACAGAGCAAAAGATTGATGTTCCTCCACGACAACGGGGTACTTTTTTTTTTTAATTGAATATTTGAAATAAAAGAAAAAAATATTGAATTTTACTCAAAATTTTTGTAAAAATCCCCAATGCCTGAGATGACTGAATTAAAAAAAATTACAGATTGAATCTGTGCAAAAAAGGATGCGCTTTTTTCACCCTGCTCTGGCGATTCCTTTAGCCCTATTTCAACTTACCGTATATGAAAGATCAAATATCAAATACAGTAATATTTAAATCTCAATATTGAAGAACATAAAAATTTCGTTAATGACAATTGAGAAAGCTGAGAAATATGGGGAGATGTCAAAACTTTTAGGCCTTTTTTGCCATTGCAAAACTGGCTATATGTCACCAGCATGTAAGAAAAAGCTTGATTTTGTTACCATCTGTTCATTAAATTTAGAAAATCGTGCATTAAATCCTTTGCGCCAAGAAAATAAAAACTTTTCGGAAATCAAAGCTCAATTAAATGCTGGCAGACTCTTCCTACGATACTTTTCTTTGCGTAACGAAATTTTTTTTTATCCGACATGTTATAAAATTTCTTTACAATGTTGCTATCTTTACAACGATTTTTTTGTATCCCTACTTATTGAATTTCGTCGTGGAGAGTAAAATATTGCATTGCATTCGAAACTTTTCGTAAAAATACGGAATGTTTGAGATGACTGAAGGTTTGTTTTTGTCTTTATTGTCGATTACTCTTAAATTCTGTATCCATGCTTTTTTTTAAAGGTTTATAGCAGTTGATGCTGGCGACGAATAATCAGGGATTTTCATGCATTTATTTCAGGGTTGGCCTGTAAAATGCTCTGTGCGTGAGGGAAATTTTTAGAAATAAATAAGATTTCCAGATGGCAGAAATAGCCAAAGCTGCTGATGAGTCTTCTCATGTCGATGAGGCTGTATACAATTTCACTGACTGAATATCTCCATTTAGTGCAATTTTGTATTTTTGTTGTTTATTTTGTCACAAACAGGGGCATTTTTGATCCCGTATGTGACGATGCTGGTGTTCACTGGCCTACCTTTGTACGGACTTGAACTTTGCCTGGGTCAGTACGCGAGTCTGGGCGCCAATAAACTCTTCGGGAAAATGCTTCCGCTATTCCAAGGTCAGTAGTGGGAAGTTATTCCAGAAATTATTACAGCAATCTATCTTTATTGTCGATTACTCTTCGATTCTGTATCCCTTTTTTTTTAAATAAAGGTTTATTGCAGTTGATGCTCGCGACGAATAATCGGGGATTTTCATGCATTTATTTCAGGGTTGGGATACGCTGTGTTGGTGGTGGCATTCTACACGAGCATTTACTACAACGTGATCATTGCTTGGACGGTGTTTTATTTGTTTGCTTCCTTTCAAAGGGAAGTGCCTTGGAAAAATTGCGATGGCGATTTCAATACTCCAGGTTTGAGAAAACAAATATTTTTAGTTTTAAGGAGAAAATAAGCTGAACTTACGATTGACAATCTTCTCAGATCTAAAAGGATTTCTACTTTCGACATATTTTTGCACATAAATTTATCGTGGGCCAAATAAATCGATGATGGAAAATAAAGTCCAAGGAACACCTGTGTGGAGACACCATTTTTAGGATACTTTTTTCAAATTTTAGAATGTACAATGTGTCGTATTTATCTTGAAAATGAGTGAAAAATGTACCAATAATGACAATGGCAGTAGTTGAGACTCGCTGTTCTGTAGTAGCACATCTGATTCCCGTGCATTTTATTGTTATTGCTTTTATTTATTCTTTATTTTTTGGAAATTGAAAGAGTGTCCTCTTCTGTGCTACAATAGGATGCTATAATCGCCAAATGGACGAAAAGTGCCATTCGATCAGTAGCAACATGACTTTTTGGAACGGGACTTGCACGACGGTGGCGGACTTGTGCAAAAATTCGCTGAACACGTGTTATCGCGTCGGAGACGAAACGACCACCTGTGCCAAAAGATTGCAAGCAGCTTGGAACTCCACCCATTGTCTGAATGTCACTGCCAAGGACGAGGGAGACACTGATCCCTATCTTTTCGTCCCACTCAAATTTGCGTACGAACGAGTCTCGGCCAGTGAGGAATATTTCACGTGAGAAACTCTCATTATTATTATTATGATTATTATTGCCTTTATTATTGTACCGCATATTCAAGCAGATTGGTTTGAATTATTTGTCAAATGTTTCGCGTTGTTAAGCAGTTATTTTTAATCATGCCGAAATGAAACCATAAGCTGTTCTTCAGCTTAAATATTGTATCGGCTTATCTCTCAGGTATATTAAGTTTTAACTACTGTCGATGCTTATCTTAAAATTAATAAACAAAAAGAATACATGCTACACCAAGATGTGACTACAAAATTGGATCGACGGTCAATTTGCCAATATGTATGTCCTCAAAATTTAGCCGTGAGCTCCTCGTCTGCGGTTAGAGTTTAAAAATGGCTGAGCCTAAACTAACCGAATGGTCATTTCATACATTATGGAATTTGACGTCATAAAATTTAACACAAAATCAGGTGATCCCTATATGTCACTTTAAAGCTAATTTTGGGATCAGGGACTTTAATGAGATCGCTATTAAATTTAATATGATTACAGTATTTAAATAGATCTTCATTTTTTATACTTTTAATTAAATAGCCCTCAATAGTTTTTTTTCCTTCGCTGCATATGTAATAAACTCGGATTTGTTTACATTACATCTGTCGCCAGAAAATGCGAGAAAATTTTAAAGGCGACTCAGAGAAACTTGACAAGCCCATAAATTATGTCTGCCTTGGGCGAGTTTTCTACTTAGAATTTCTTTTTAGATAAATCACACGTTCGACGAATTTTTTCAAAAGTTGTTTAAAAAAAACTCCTTTCTTTTCACAGGAATTTCATGTTGGCCAAGACCGATAGTTGGGACGATTTCGGTGGATTGAAATGGGACTTGGTTCTCTGCTCCGCCCTGGCTTGGGTGTTGGTCGCAGCAGCTCTCATCAAAGGAGTCCAGAGCTCTGGAAAAGTTGTTTACTTTACGGCTTTGTTCCCTTACGTAGTTCTTCTCATTTTCGGCATCAAAGGTGAGGATTGAAAACAAGTAATAATATACTGTACCATGGTTTGTCCATATTATTTGTTTCTAGAAATGTAATGAAAATAAACGTCGTGAGCAAATTAAAAGTCATAAATTCAGATCACCTCTGCTGATGAGTACTCGGGAAGTACAGCACTCCCCTTGCGTTTATATGTGCCCACACATGTGCCCTAGAGTTTGTTAATCCTCAAGCAGGAAATATATTTAAACTTAGAGAATGCATAAAATCAGTGAACTTCAGCTTTATTCGCGGAAATTATTTGTGTGCACCCCCAGCAGGTTATTCTATGTATTCATATACCGTATCATTATATACTGTAAATACATTATACAGTACTAGAAATCTTATCATTATAACTTCATTGCAACTCGCTTCAAAGCCGTTTCTGTTATCGTAGCAAAAATCCATCTTGCTGCTTCTAAAAATTTCGATTTTATCGCAAATTTCAGAGCATTGTCCACCATGTGATCCATTTTTTCACATTAAAAACCCGATAATTGATAATGCCTATGTCTGGAGTCTCAGAAATGTTTTAATATTCAAGAACTGGAAATGATTCCCTTTTATACATTAGCAGCTATACATGAGATCTATTACCACAAGATTATAATACCTGCCAATTAATTTCCTTCCCCCTCTTCAATCACTATCCTTCTGAATTTTGGGAACATGTTCAGGTTCTCCAAGACAGCATGAAGTTTCTGGTTAAATTATTGTATCCTGTATTTTCTTTTATTCATGCAAAAAGCTCTTCAGAACAGCAGCTTAGTGGAGAAAGTTGTCTGACAACTTTTTTTGTTTTGTTCAAAGTTTTCATTCATCGGTGGATTGAAATGGGACTTGGTTCTCTGCTCCGCCCTGGCTTGGGTGTTGGTCGCAGCAGCTCTCATCAAAGGAGTCCAGAGCTCTGGAAAAGTTGTTTACTTTACGGCTTTGTTCCCTTACGTGGTTCTTCTCATTTTCGGCATCAAAGGTGAGGATTGAAAACAAGTAATAATATACCATGGTTTGTCCATATTATTTGTTTCCAGAAATGAAATGAAAATAAACGTCGTGAGCAAATTAAAAGTCATAAATTCAGATCACCTCTGCTGATGAGTACTCGGGAAAGACAGCACACCCCTATTGTTTATATCCTGGAGTTTGTTGATTCTCAAGCAGGGAATATATTTAAACTGAAAAAGAATGCATAAAATCAACAAACTTCAGCATTATTCACGGAAATTATTTGTGTGCACGCCCCAGCAGGTTATTCTATTTATTCATATCATCACATACGAGTACACTGTAAATATCCTAGAAATGCTGGTCATTATACTGTAACTTAATTGAAACTCGCTTCAAAGCCGTTTCTCTTATTGTAGCAAATATCAATCTTGCTGCTTCTTAATATTTCGCTTTTATCGCAAATTTCAGAGCATTGTCCACCACGTGATCCATTTTTTTCACATTAAAAACACGATAATCGATAATGCCTATGTCTGGAGTCTCAGAAATTTTTTAATATTCAAGAACTGGAAATGATTCCCTTTTATTCATTAGCAGCTATACATGAGATCTATTACCACAAGATTATAATACCTGCCAATTAATTTCCTTCCCCCTCTTCAATCACTATCCTTCTGAATTTTGGGAACATGTTCAGGTTCTCCAAAACAGGTACTTCAAAGACCAATTTAATAACATAGGACATAAAAGAAAATAAGTACGTTTTTCGAGAAGTCTTGTCGTCGAATCACCTCTTTCAACAGACTGTTGAAAAAAACAAAACAAGTTTCAAAAGTAAGAAATGTTTTTGTGACCATTCCTTGGCACTTGGAACCAAAAAAACTGCATACCATTTGAAAGAAATTTGAGCAAGCTTTCATTTGGCGCCTTTTTCATTGCCACAGTTCAATTTGCTAGCAAGCTATTTCAAGTAAAAAATTGGTTCAGTTTTTGGCCCACCCTGTATGTGTCGCGTCAAGAAGGGAAAATGACAATTTCTCGTACAACAATAGGACATTTTTATGACATAATCCTTATGTTTTTTATTCATTTATAAGGTGCCACGTTGCCGGGTTCGTTGGAAGGGGTGAAATATTTCGTGACACCGAAATGGGAGCTGCTGAAAAGTCCACGAGTTTGGGTTGATGCTGCGACGCAAAACTTTTATTCACTTGGACCTGCATTTGGGGGATTGATCACATTTTCTTCCTACAACAAATTCAACCACAACTGCATGAGGTACCGTATACTTTTTTTTTGCACAGAAAATGCACAATCGATTTCCAAAACAAAAGGATTTAATTTTCTTACGATATGCTGCTCTTCGACCTAAATCCCCGTGTTAACCTTTGAGTTAAGTCAGTTAAAAAGTCAGCTAAAATAAATTAAAGAATGAAATAAATTAACACTTACGAGCAAAGTTTTTTCTGAAGAAAATTATAGTAAAAAAACATTTTCATTCGTATTGCCAAGCTGTATCGCAAAAATATGAAAGCAGAACAATTGAATTTGGAGACATTCTCCATGCAGCTTTAAAATACTTCCAGTTTCTGTCACAGTTTCACTCTCGAGAGAAATCTGAGCATACGCAAATTTCGGGAGTGGTAAAAATTTCATTTCCTACGAGTTGAGCAAAAAAACAAAAACAGACTGCCGAAGAGATTGGAGATAATCAGGGCATTTTTCTGTGGCTCTCTTTATGCAACACGTTCGAAATCGCTGCTGTTATGCGTTTTTAGAATATAAAGTTTTTAATCTTGATGCATTCCTCGCCTTTTCCCGATTGCGCAGAGATGCGATTCTTCTTGGAATTGCGGACGCGTTGACCTCTACAAAACGACCACGTCAACAAAAGCCCTATCAACCGATGTACCGTGTATTTTACCGTCAAGGCTAGTCACTCCACTAGTTTAGACCAAGGCCAAATCGGAAGTAACGCATAGGACTACGCTAAAGGCTTTTGACGTGGGCTCCGTTGTGGGGTGTTCTGTTTTTCTCCATGCTGATGGTCTGCGGATTCGACTCCGAGGTTCGTTCATGCGTACTGTACATATAAACTCTCATTCAATTCAACACTGAATTTTCAAACAGATGACGTTGACAGTTTTCCCCAGCAAATTTAAATTCTGATTGAAATTTTTTTTAGTCGAAACATACTATGATCCAACTTGTAAAATATGTTTTTAGTGACGTTGCTGGTTCATTTTCGTCCGAGCTAGTATACCATACTTATTCAAGTACCACGCACCCTGAAGTAAGACATGCACCGTAGTTTTCCAGCTCAAATTTTGGAAAAAATCCATTATGCGGGGTTGGAAACAATTCCATCCCCACATAAGACACCAGCCGTAGTTTTGAGTTCCCAAAATTGGTATTTTAAAAACTATATAAATGGGGTGAAATATATAAGCCCACCTACAATTTCAACTCGTCGATGTTTTATCTAAGGAAAAACAAATAATCATCAAAGAAGAGAACTTTGAAAAAGACTTGGAAAAAGGGAACAAGTTTTGAAGTTCAAACAAATTTACTAGAACTATATTTTTACTTGACTATAAAATGAGCACCTCATTTTTCAACACATACACTCTCTTACTGCAAAAAATTTCAAGGGATCAGGAAAATTTGTTGTAGAGAACCTCTTTAATATGGGTATTAGAGACCCCTATCAGAGAAAAATATATGTACAGAGAAACTCTTGCGTGGACAAGATATAGTTGTTGAGAGAGTCCACCTGCACAGCGTAAACTTTTGATACGTTCCCGTATATAGTGATCATCAAGTGCTGCATATGGTAATGTCAAACAGGTGTTACCTCAATCTGGAACTCGAAGGAACCAATTCAATCAATATATATCTTAAAACAATTTTATCTGCCGGTTTGACCTAATCTGAATTAATTTAATTCAACCTACGATTATAAATCATGAATACTAAAAAAGGAGGAGATCCTATATAGAGGCTATACCTACGACGCGTATATTTACGAGACAATTCAACTAAAATTAAAATCGAGCTCACTAGGCTGTGGGATGTCATGAAGAAAAACCAAAGGAACCTACTGTGTTGTCCGACATTCCCGAGCATAATTGTTGAAGTGATAATATAATCAAATTTACATCAACTGCACTGCATCTCGCCAAACTGTATTATTTGAATTTGGGGTTGACAATTTTGGTTTTCCAACAAAAAAAAGCTACGACTGTTTTCAGGAAATCTCGAGGCAAGAAAAGGAAAAGCAGAATTAAAAGTGAATAATATGGGATTGACGATAAAATCAGGAATACATTTTCTCACATCACGAACTGCTTAAAATACTATACAGTACAGTACTAGAATTCGAGAATAAATTCAGAGTTGATCTTTTTTTTTTTTCTTTGCAGTTCACCATGATTGAAACGCTGGTGACCGCTCTATTGGACGAGAAGCCGAAGCTAAGGAGGTACAAAGGATGGGTTGCATTGGTTGTGAGCATCATCGGGTTCCTTCTGGGATTGTCCATGTGTACAAGAGGTGGCATCTACATGTTCACCCTGTTCGACTATTATTCTGCTGGATGGGCTGTGTTACTGTTGGGAGCTGTGGAAGCGCTCATCGTAGTATACGTTTATGGTGAGTTTACTGGAATTTTGGATGAACGAATGCGCTTCCATTTTGGTCTTTCTCTGAAATTGAAAAATGTTCCAGTGAAACCTCGATTTTAGGGTCACCATTTGTCCAGGCCTATTCTCCGACTGTGAAGACTTTTTATGGCACTAACTGATATATAATGGCACTTAAATCGGTATTTCCCTCAAGGAAATAATTTCGGGAGATTTTTATTAGGGAAATTTGTGGCACTAATTAGGCCAGGGGGCACAAAATCGAGGTTGATGGTATTAATAGAGGGGTTTTAGGAGAATCCAAATTTAAGATGAAGGATTTCATCGTTACATAAACCATTATTCAGTTTTTGGTTGAAGTACCAGCGCAAATAAGTGAGTCGACGGGGTCGTACCTGATGAATAAATCGAATAATGAAGGGATTTGTTTCTATTTTTCGGGTAAAAATTTCATCTGAATTTTAAGTCGATGTTCATGTACCAGCAGGCGAAGATTAATGAAAATGCATCGGTAGATGACCGGATCAATTCCAATTCATGCCAAATAAAGGCTCCTCCCTGAAATGTTCTCCATTTTCAAGTTTCATCCACGACGAGTTAGATAACTGCGAAGACAAGCCTCTTGATCTGCGTATACTAAACCATCAATCTGAGCTCTCTGAAGTCAGGGCGCATCCACCAATCCTCTTCGCCTATCTATAAAATTGAAATCAACTTAGAATTTCATAATTTATTTATTTTTATTTACCTGTTGCGTAACCGTGATTACCTTTTTCCTTTCTAGGCTACAAACGTTTCATGGACAACGTCAAGGAAATGATGCCGAGGGTGTTCCCCTTCGAAGGCTACTGGAAATTCACACTGTCCTTCAGCAGCCCCGTTCTCATCGTGGTGAGTTTCTTGGAGAACTTTTGCGTGGTTTCGAGATTCTTATGAATTCTTTTTACATGTTTTTTCAAGGGCATGGTGATTGCGACTTGGGTTCAGTACGAACAGCCGAGTTACGGAGGAGCTCCTTTCCCGGTCTGGGCTGACGTTCTTGGATGGCTGATGGGAATTTCACCTCTCGTTGTCCTCGTCGGATTCGGGATCCGCAAGGTTTTGCAGGCCAAAAAGAATGGCACGGTGAGATATCCAAGCGAGCTTACCGATGAACGTGACATTCAACTCGGTAGAAGAGAATTATTAATCCAATCGCTTTTCCCGAACAGGATTTGAGATCCTTGGTGAAGCCGAAACACGACTGGGGTCCGGCACACTTCAGAGAATCCTTGCAGGGAACTCCAAAACCTGCCCTGACGGAAAAAGTTTCAACGGACAGCACTTGCAGCAGACTTCGGGACTACGTTCGCTCGACACGGAAACTCAGACACACGTTGACAAATACGACTATTGTGGAGTGACATGATTAATGCAGCACCAAACACGGAAAGTATGAGAGTTTTGGTTTTGGAAGACTATTTATGAAACTGGGTGGGGTGACCGAGATTGTCGACTGACGAAGACGTGATCATAGGGATTCATGAGTCTATACCTCTTCATGCGAAAGCATGCATTTTACTTTTGTACTGGAAGCGATGTATTTTGTTCCCGTGTTTGATCTGAAGGTTTGCATGAAACTGATGTTCCAAGTATTATTCCTTGGCGTTGAATAAACCCTCGACCAGGGAAAACTATTGTATACGTGTACCTTTGTAGTACTGATATATCACTGATCCGGATTACCGGATCAGTGATGAACTATCATTCAGACCTCAAACAAGAAACTCAAAGCCCTGTTTGGACAGTTACTGATCTATTCCAGTGTTCCCCAAACTTTTTGGGCCTGCGGACCAGCACATTTCCATAACATTTTTGGAAAATCAGCAAAGTTCTGTAAAACGTTTGTAGGGCAGCACAACATTTGTGAATATCCGCCTTAAATTCCTCCTAACAAAACTTTATTGCTAAAAATTAAGTTAATAACCATTAATGCTGTCTTCAAAAAATTTGAAAGTTGGGCTCAAGACATTCTTATTGAAATGAATACTGTACTGTACTTGAAATACATTTTTTTAGTGGGTGAACATAGATCCATAGTGGTACAATATATTACAAGAAAAGCCAACTTTTATTTTTCATCAGGTAAAATTCAACTACCACACTCTTTCTCAAAATTTCAGATCAAGATAAGAGACTTCATTTCTACCTTTGATGAATTTATTTTGCTGAAGGAAATTTCCATGTACCCACAAAAAACCTGCAGACCACTGATGAATTCAACACAGAAAAACATCACATCTCAACATAGTACGAATTTAAGCCTTGATGGAATAAGTGATTTAACAAGTTTCTGCTACGTGCAAAAATGAATTAAAGCGAACAAAGCTCGGGGAAGGGTCTAAAATTTGTGGAAAATGATTTCTTATTAGGCATACAAAACAAAAATATCACTGCTATAAAGAAGGACAGATATTGAGAGCAAAAATAATATACTTCCATTCCGCGCATTTGTCAAGGGAATCAAAAAGTCTTGCACCTGCTACACTTTGCTAAGCATACCCTACGAGTCGTTATTCCACGAACGACCGAACCAGCGCGTCACAAAAATAATCGTTTACTCCCCAAGTGCTCAGAAAACCCTCGCGCGTATAAATAATAAAACCAGAACGAAAAGACCTCGTCATCACCCGTCCACGGGTTAATTTCGTAAAAAAACGCAATCCTTCGAAAACAAAAATCCAACCACCGATCAACACCGAAACGCTGTTAAGTACGAATGTACCGATAGGGTATTCCACTGGAAACACTTCCTCATTTCCTCTTGGAGTATTAAATGCTTACAAATTGATTTAAAAGCTCAAAAAGAAGGATTGAAAACGGGTCAACGGAGCTCTGACTAGACTCCCAAGTTTCGTTTCACACTGAACGTTCCCCTACAAAAGCAACAGCAGGAGAAAAAAAATCCTGCTTTTAAAATCCATCAGGCCCACGGAGTGAAAGAAATAAAATTAAGCATCTTATTCAAAGATGAAGTACAGTATTAGAAAAGGTTCGGTAAAAACTTTTTTGAAGCCTTCGTTTTCTCGAACTTACGACTAGCGATTCGCTTTCACATGTTGACACCGACCACGACATGCAATTAAAACCGTTCCTTCCAAGCTTTCTGCATTTCCCCGAAAAGAAATCAGTGGATTTACAGCTGCGCAAATGATTGACGCAGACGAAGTCACTAGGGTTACCTCAAAAATCTTGCAAGTCACCCACTGAAGGTAATTGCAGTAGCATGAAACAAAACTACTGTATCTCTTTTCGAAACTTTTTTTGGGCAACAAACAAAACTTCACGTTCTTCCGCAAAAATGCAAAAGAAGGATTTCGCAAATAAATTTTGCGCATACGGGGAATTCCCTGCAAGAAACTTCGCGTGCACACATTACTTGAAGACTTTTCGAGTTATTCGTCAATCGGATTCCCACAGAAATAACTAGCTGACTCGCTAAGTGAATGCACATTTTTTGCGACAATTACTGCGATATCGATTTTCCGAATCAAGGGGGGAAAACATTCCGATGAAAACAGACATCTCAACTTCACCTGCGTGTAATGTGATGATGAATTAATTCCTTATTTTGTGGCATCAAAAAAGAAAAAAAAATCACATTACAAAAGTAAAGTTTCGTGAGCTTGTAACGCACGTTTGCTACTGACTCGCAGGACTTTTGAGATACCATTCCAACAGCCCTACAATATCCAACCTATAACCAAACGATAAGCTCATCCTTTCGAGACAAGTTCGGTTTCTTAATGAATGTGAACTACGGTGATAGAATCAGGAGCGAAGCAAGCCTCGTATCGAAGAAGCTCAAGGTAGTTCGGAAAGACCGACGAAACGATCAGGACAAACCCGAACAAATCACAAGTATTCCATCAGGACGCTTCCAACTTACAGAAAACAAAAAAAGGATCGCGTGCAAAACACAGAACCGAATGCGATCGTGACCAACGCACACCCGCGGGACCGGAATACCACAATCATCACTCCCAGAGAGTTTCTCGATGCATCCCACTTCACTTTGACAATAACGTGGTCACGTCTTCGCACAAACACAAACGCAACTGACGATCAATTGCCTCTCGCTAGGAAAACTCTCGTGCAGCAATCATCTCGCGAGTGTCAGTCTGCCAGCGACACTTGCCACACGATGAGGTGACTCCTGTCACCCCTCGACAACGGGTTCCGACGCGGCAGAAGCCCGCCTTCCACACTCTTCAATCCATCCTCGTCATCAGCTGTGTCCCCTGCGAATGAAAAAAAAAACAACACGAAACATGACCAGAAAATCGAACACCGTCAGTATCAATCACATGCGAAGTTTCCCTTCTCAAAACCTTGTCTCATCCAGTCATGCAATGCTGCTTTCGGAACGACAAAAAATACATCACATGCGTCTCAACCGTCACACGTCAGTAGATCAGCGCAGCGTCATCCAGTCGCTTTACACTTGCTGAATTAGTGTCGGAAAATGGATGAGTGAGTAGAGGAAGATGAAAGTGAAGCGCATATGAGAGGAATATAATGGGGGAAATTTACAAGAATTATCTTACACACGCGAACGGGGAATTGAACCGACTTTGGAACTTCAAATGACTCACTTGTACGCCGAAAGAAGAATTTACACCACTTCAAAGGAAATCTTTGTCGATTAGGCAGGATCATGGACAAGGTATTCACATTTAGATGGCGCTGGTCAATATTATCTTTGAACGCAAGCAAATGAAGGAAAAGCAGCACAGGTCTTCAAGAGGTGACGCCCCAGAAACATGAGCCGTAGAGAACGAACAGTAGGTTCTGTCGCAGTAGAAGTGTTAAAGGAGGAATATTAAGTCAAATCTCGATTTAGTGCCTCTCTTTGTCCTGGTAAATTTTGTGGCACTAAGCGAGGGTATTGTAGAGAAAGGTTCAATTGAAGGTTCCTGTTGTTGGCAAAATAAGCTTGTTCACAGAACTATTGTTAGGCCGCTGAGTCTGCTTTATGAAAGCGTAAAACAGAAGAAATCATTTAAGCTCAAATGAACTACTTATTCTGTACCGTATTTCGAAATATGTACAATATTAGGACTGAATATATTACATTCTTCGCATAATGTGTCTCGGAAAAAAGAAGAGATGTTTCTTGAGATTTTGTTTGTATTTTGCGATTTATATCATGTGAAATCATGAAAGAATCGCCAACGTTTTCAGGAAAGCTTCCACTTTGAAAAAAAAAAGTTCAATGAAGGAAGGTTTCATGCAAGAGCAAATCTATTTTTCGACAATGTAAATTCAAAGTAGAATTTTCAAAATAATCTTGAGTTTTTACGTGAGTATGGGGTTGTGTTTAATTTAGAACCCAAAGATATCCATAGAAAAATGTCATATGTTTGCTTTTGGTACCCTTTCCAGATTTTACAGGAATTTTTCGTGGCACCAAGTTAATTGGCACTAAATTTGGGAAACTCTTATGAACACAATGAAGGGAGCTTTGTTTCTGAGAAATTTGTGGAATTTTGCAAAGGTGGCACTAAATCGAGGGTTGACTGTAGTATGCTGTAGCTCCAAAAATTAAACTAGAAATTTCATGTTATACATTTCATCAAGACATAAAAGTGTCAGAAATAATGATGAAAATATCATGGTATGGCGGGTAAGTAAAGCCGAACTGACTCTCGACACATGATTTCGCAAAACGCTGTTTCTGCAGTGGTCATAGCAGTATTTATGTGTGCCGCACATAGATCGTACCTCTTTGGAACTCTTGCGTCACGGGATGTTTTTTGAAGATCATTTACATTCGTTTCGAAGTTCGAATTCAGAAATGAAGCGAAGATAAGAGATAGAGTGAGCAGAGGTGAAGACTGAAGTGAACTCGGGTGCGGTCAATGGGGGACAAAAAATTACTGGCTAGTCTCGGGTTCTTCGTTTTCGTCTCCGGCGTCATCGTCGTCACACTTGGCCAAAACTTGTTGATGTTCCGACGCAATTGCCAGAGTCCGTGTCAACCTCCGCTTCTCACCGTGCTCGCCTCGCGCGAACGGCAATTGCCAAATAATCAGGTGGCTCGCAGAGTCCGCCGCCACGTCTTCGCCGTCGTCCACTAAGTCCCAAGTTCCGTCATTCCATACAAGCACGAAATATTTCCGCGAAACACCAATATGCATAGCCGATTCAATAAAGGTGAAATTATCTTCCTTAAACCGTCAAAGCGAATTATATGCGTCATAAAAATTCCACGACGAATTTTTAGGGATGCCAGATATTCTGATTGATCCAATTTTTGGAAACCGCGAAAATTACAATACAGCCTTAATTTTATTCACGATTACAACCATTCTAGTGGAAAAATCTAGAAGTCGTAGCTTCCTATGAAAATTTGTTTCAATAAAGTAAAATACCGCGAAATCATTCGTGCCGGAAAACGCATTAATGCATTTACTTGAAAAAAAGTTTTTCTCATAAAAAAAGCTCAAAAATTTGGAAGTTGACACGGCTTTGCTCATCATGCATTCTATGTATGCAAGACTCTCGGAAATCGAGCGAAAGAATAGATCTTACAGCATAAGAGGGTCCAAAACAGATTGAAAGCGATAAATCAAAGGAATTTGTATTTTTAAGGATCAGTATGAGAAGTACACTCTACAAGGTGAGTTCGAAAAAAGGCTAAAAACCTATTCAACTAAATGTTAGTCCACGAGGGACACGGACGCTTGCTACGACAGAGCATCTTGAAACCGAGATTTTTAAAAGCTCCATATCGTCCCGCGAGACCAGAAAATAAAATACGTTCTCATACCTATCCGGAAATCAATGTAGCCTTCTCCTCCGGATAAGACGAGCATAGATTTTGGATGGGCCTTTGGTCCACCACGAATCAACGGGGGATGTCCATTTCCTGGAGAAGTCAGGGGATTTATCGTTGAAGAAGCAGCACTCATGCCCCCAACCCCTGCGAATAACGAAGAATACCTTCATCACACGAGAAGTTCACGTCCTTCTCAACTCACTGCTCCTCAAGATCTATGCCGAATTATTTTTCAATTTTTTCTTTTGATTGCTTCAATGTAAACGTTACTAAAACGATGAGTTTTCATCCGACGTTGTAATCTTGAAAATACCTGACGAAGTTTTCAATAGAAAAAAAAAATCGTCTAATGCGAGCATAACGACGAGCTTTGAATCAAGTTTGAATACACATAAATAAAAAGGACCTCGAGTTGACACAAAATACACATACCTGGTACTGCCGAAAAAAACTTGACAGCATCACGATGTCCATGGAAAGAAAGCTGCGCTTGGGAAAGTGAGCAATAAGGGATATACGAGCCCGGCGTGATATTATCCTCACTGTCCGAATATATCTTCACATTCGTTCCCGACAAACGCTTGCCTTCCTCATCCACATCACCGTTGCTGTTTTCATCCGCACCTAGACGAAATGATGAGATTTATTCAAATCGCACTCGAGACACATTGATACAGTATACAATATTAAAAATAGAAAACTGAGAAACTTCCGGATTTTTCGAGCTGATTAAAAATCAGGCATAATCGAAAATGATCAAACAAATTTCTCGACGACCCATTTTTATTTTTAGCTACCTTCCTTTGGACCTCGAAGGCGATGAAATTTTCTTGACGCACGCTAACTCAATTATCAGGATGAAAAATTAGGATTCAGGAAATTTTACCCGAAGTTCATTGACACAGGCTGCTGGGTTTAAGTTCAAAATTCAAGTTACAGTACTGTAGTTTCGAGGTTTTACTCTGTTCTGGGATATCTTCAAAACTGGAATTTATCAAGCAAGAGACATCAACGAGTCCTTTAAATGTAGCTGCCTCAATTAAAAACGTAGGATTTACTTTCAAATAAAAAAAATTCGATGCTAGTTCGAACTGAAAATATCACACGTGCAGCAACGATCTCATGATAACTCAGAATTCCCCGGCTTCAAGATACCAGAAAATTTATGAATCCTAAATTTTTTCAGCTGCGCAGTTTAACGAAAAATTGCACTGCACTGTACATACCTTCAGACAAAGGCACAGATATGATGACACCGTTGCCAGTGCCGATCCACAATCGATGACACGACACCAACATTGCTGTGATCCTAACGAATGAGAAACCCCATTTTCCGGTACCTGTAGATATATTCGCGAAGTTAGTATATTTCTAGAAACTGAAATCCAACTTTTTCACGTCAACGAGTTTAACGAAGTTTATCTTCCATATTCTTGAACGGAAATTCGATTAAAACAGGAGAAGCGGGTTGTTCCAACTACAAAAAATGTTCTACACATTTTAAAAATCAAATGAGAAAATTGAATCAGCGTGAGAATGGCAGGATTTTTGGCAGTACAGAAGCGGACATGGAGGATCAGCTCTGAAGGTTCATCTGAGTGAAATTCAGGTATAACGTATATTTACGATCAATAGTACGGGGAGCTCAATTTCCTGTGCAGAAATCGTAATTTTCGGAAGAAAATTTTTCGGGAACGATGGACGACATTTTCTACATTCCAGTACTGTCCTGTATAATTTCAATCGATGTTTTCTGATAGTGAGAATACTGTACATTCAAAAGACAAGTCGAGAAGTTCTAATTTTCTACGCTTTTGTTCGCCATTTTCTGGATAAAAAAAACCGCGAAATTCCTCCTCACTTCTACGTTTGAGAATGATATTTGATAAATACCCAAGAATTCTCCGATTTCCTTCCACTGTGAAAACGCTGCGCCAGCTTAGATGATTCGGCGCTGGATTCACCGGTTGCCGAATTATATTGATTATAAGCAGATTGAAATCGCGCCGCTTATAAATAATCTTACTTTCCAGCCCTGGCTTTTTCTGCCTTCATCTGTTCGGTTAAAGCGGAATTCGGTATTCAAGATCAACTCATTCCCTTGCTGTCAAAATTACAATACTGGAAAAGGAAAAAATCGAAAAATATGTTTTTTTGGATTAAATGCCTTGAACAATTATATCATAGAATACAAGTTGAACATAGATAAAAAAGAAAATTTGCCCGTCATCTTTATGCAGTTTTTTATGCGGCAAACCAAATCGTATAACAGTAGTACTTTTCCAAATTTTCTTCGAATATGATGTACCCTAAAAATTACATTTTTTAAACATAAGATTGAAGTAAATAAAAACACTTCATCCATCATTCCCTCGAATGAAACAATTTCCTTCATGACATACACCGCCCTAAATTTGAGTACTGCCTCTATAGTAAAAAAAATCGTACTCTTACGAGGGGGATGTCAAAGGAAAATTGTAACGTGACGCGTTTAATAATGGTCCAAATGTAGCTGGTGAAGTAGAATGTCCACTGCCAGACGAAGTCGGTTACATGTTATGAAGATTAGCGGTTATTGGATTATAAAATCAGTTTTTCGACTGCCGCTTGCAACTGCAAGCTTTTCTTTCAGAAAAAGCGACAACAACCCATCACGCGCACTTCAGAAAAAAAGAAAACGTCCCAAATTAGTATGACGGATCCTTGAACAACACCAAACCATTCGAGTCCGATGTTAAAAATTTCACGCCCTAAAACTAGTAGGATGAAAAATATAAAGGTACGGTGTAGGCCACGACAGCAGAAACATGATAATACGGTTGCTGGATAAGTGAAGCGTGCCATTTTAACCCAAAAGCCTTCAAGTGGTACCTGGACTATCGTCTGATATGGATTCGATCAGGGAGCGCCATTTTCGAAGCACCCAACGGGATTCCCAGCAGAAACATGAAAGGGGAAAATCAAGGATGACACTTTTCAGGAATAAAGGCATAATGAAAGCTAAGCTTTGCGAAGAGAAGGTACTGCAGCGGTATTTTTCGTATTCTATAAACACGTGGACTTGAGCCTCTTAAGAATTTCAAGACAATATTTCCGAATAAAACAGTAAATGAATAAAAAATAATAACGGTTCGCATTCATCAGACAGTACCGAAAAAAACTAGAAAAAAGTACTTACCAAGCATCTTTGATACATAGGGTTCGATGTCGACGTCTTGTAAATGCTGGTATGTGTGCGCATGATACAACCGTAACGTGGAATCAAGTCTTATCGATACCCAAACCCCATCCCCGGCCCACGCAAGGCCTCGAACTTGACTTTCTTTCCTCGGATGAGCCTCGAAGGTTTTCTGAAATACAAGAGCACAGAATATAACACCGCAAACATCGTAGAACACACACAATCTGGCAGGAATTTAAGTAGACAGAACAACTCACGTGCACGGCCAAAAGCCGAGGGTCCACAACGCGAATTTTATTTCGATACCCGCACCATACTCTGTCATGCACGACAGACAAACAGCGGATGGAATGTGAAGGTTGACCAAGATCCAAGAGATGATAGTTGCTCAAATTCCATTGTCCATCTGCAGCTCTTTGAAACATTGCTAATGTACCATTAGCCAGCGCCACCAACACTCTTCCTTTCACGTGTCTAGAATTAGAAAAAAAAATTATTTTCAGGAAGCAATAAGAATTGAATTATATTCAGAAACATAATTCCAATGCGAAACTTTTAAATGAGCCAATTATCTTTGCTCAGAATTTCAGGACTGAATATTTCCGAATGGTCTCAGTAAAGTATCAATTTTATGCGAGTAGAAAAATTAGTGTGGGTCCTCTTTTATTTAATTTTTTGCGAGAACAAATTCTGTTCAATGATCAGTACCGAGTTTCCTCTTATTGAATTGTGATGTATGATTGCAAGCTCAAAATTTCTAGGCGATACAACAAATTCAAGTCACTCAGAATATTTCCCCGTTCAAAAGATTCGTCACGTTCATATCGGAGATGAGTTCATTTAAAAAAAAGGAAGATGCATTTTTTTCAACTAGCCGGGCGGTGAGTTTAAGGAATCAAAATTGACGAAACCACAGCTTACACGATTGACAGGACTGAGTCCCGAAGTTTAATGGAATGCAAACACCGACGCCACTGCGCGACTGCTGAGTGCACATATAATGCTCCACTTTGGGCACCCAGCCACATAGTTGGCAACACACTGCTCATCTTCTCCACAGTCTCATAAACGGCGACATTTCCTACAGATGAATTCATGAGGAAAGATTTCTTTTTCTCGAATATTCACACAACCAGCGAACAGCACTATTCACTCACCTCTATCAATCATCGTCAAACCATCTTTCACGATTCCCTGAGGTTCTTTCAAAAGTCGTCTCGGCGGAGACGGTTCGTCAGCTTCTTCAGCGTTACTACAAATATCTCCGATTTCTTGCTCTTCACCTCCGGCAGTCGGCGAACCAGGAACTATATTAAAGCACATCGCAACACATTTCAAGATGGGTTCGATTGCAATTGAACAGAGAAATCATTCTAAAGCTCACATTTCACACATTAAAGCACATACAATGCGTGAAAAAAATCTTACCTGCGTCAGCTGATAACCTGCGCAACACTGGCTTTGCTTCGTCATCTACAAAGGGTTGGCGGTAGAACAGAAAAGCAAGCGCACATGAGCAAAAGATCGTTAAAACAAAATGACCGGTGAACACGAGTAACGAACAGATTTTTGGCCACAGAGCCTAAGCTCAATACAACGTGCACTTGAATGATCAAGCAATAAAAAAAATCTAAGGCGATTCGATCGCAACAGACGAGGATCAAACGAAAACTGTAAGCATACGGGATTCTTGGGCAAAATACCATCGTCTACTGATCGCTCAAGCGTAAGACAACAAAAGCATTTGATACCCGCAACGCAAATTCATACAGAACGTGGACAAAAAATACTACTCAACAGCAGAGGAAATTGAGAACATAAAAAAATTAAATGTACAGTATCTTCAAAGTTACAAAATGGAAACTCACCATGAACGGGGGAAACTGGCGGCGGTGAAGGAACAGTGCTCGTTTCGCCAGTTGCACAACTGACGAATGTGATGCCACCGATTTTTGAATTATCTTCCTCGTCAACTCCAGCACTGGAGACCCGGTGGTGACTCAATGAATTAAGAGTGGACTCATCTTCCTTGTGTCCATCACTTTTAACATCACGGGGAAGTTCATCGGAAACTGCGTAATCACCTGCCTTAGCCCCTGAAAGATTGAATTATTTTTAGAATATAACAAGAATGAACGGAGTACAGCAAAAAAGAGCAAGCGTTCAGACACAAAAAGCTTCAAACGCACGAAAGCTCATAAAAATCAGAAAAACGTGAAAGGCATGAAGTGATTGAAGGGGAAATCAGCAGTACAGTATCTACAACCACAAGCGTTCGCGCTTGAAAGAAGAGAGCCCAATTTCCAGGCTTTTTCAAAGCTAATACTGTAACAGCGTTCTTAATTCATTGTGGATTTATTGTAACTCACGATAAAGATGCATTAATCGACGTCTTGATGATGCCACCAATTTTAACCTTATATCTTTTATATGGATCAATCATAATCATCAAGTGCTCCAATAATTTTCTGTCATTTCACAGAGACCAGTACTCGCCCGAAAAAGACAAATACATTTTTCCTTTCTCTGCCACGCGCTGAAAAAAATGAGTATTTCCACTATTTTTCGCCTTTTCAGGACACAAATTTTAAAATACAGCATATTAATTATATGCTTATAACTCCGAAATATTCACTTTTCGCAGGTCTAATACCGCTGTATGCAGTACCTCCGCAGATCCAAAAACCAAGTTAAATTGCCACGAACACACACGATTGTTCAACAATCAATTTACCTGGAACACTAGCAATGCACAACAAGTGCGACGAACACACGGTAAATGACACAAGCACGTCAGCTGGGTTGTTTGCATCAATGACAGTGACTCGAGAGGACGATCGTGTCGACGTGCAAATCCAGACCAACGAAGAAAGCTGCTTCTCTGACTCTTCCCATTCGATAAACGCTCGCTCCTTTGCTCTTAGCTCCTGGTCCAGCTTCTCAACAGCGTCGTCAGCACGTTGATCAGACACTGATTCTCGACTACTGGCTTCAATCGCGGAATCCGCCAGAGCTTCTTCACCAGTCTCTTCTCCTGAACGTTCCAACGACGAAGCAGTAGATGCATCCGAATAAAAGACTGATGTGCCAACAATCGAGCCTCCGTCCCTGGTCCTGCCGCCCGTCAAATTTACTCCAGCAGCACACCATATCTGAATAAGCGTTGATATACGATCATATCCAAAGCAATCTCGGTTTAAAAATGTGAAAACATAAGAAAAAAGCTACTACGGTCATCCAAAAAAACCCCACATAAAAACTGCAGAGCCACTCAACAATTACGTGTGAGTTGTTTTTCCTCGTCAATAAAAATTGAGCATTTCCTTGATGAAATAAAAGTCTTCCTCAACACTTGATAATCTAGAATATGTGTCAACAATATTCTCGTATCATCGAGTCTAAGGAGCTCCTGAAATGAAAAAGTTCTGGCAAAATTCTGCATGTTTCACGTTGACGAAAATATATCCAGAAAACGCGGAATTCAATGCAGTTGAAACTCGATAACTCGAACCTTTCTAAGTCAATGCCTCCCTGTGTCGATTTTTTTCAAGTCCCTGTCTGAATTCCCATGAAAAAAAAACGCATTAAAAACCTTCCTAAGTCAAGGGCTTCTACATAATTCAAGATTTCTGTAGTCCTCTTGGCTATTATCTTATTGAAACAGGCACGAGAAAACCAATTTAAATTCAACTTCACATGTTTTGAAAAGAAGTGAGACTAATTGAGCAAATGAATCCTTGCATCCAAGTTCAGCATCCAGGCGCATCATTCAAGAAGCACTTTAAGGCTTCTTAAATTCAATATAACCAATTACAATTTCTGGTACATTTCATTTATTTCCCTCCACAAAAATGTTCTTTTCCCCTAACGCGAATTTTTTGCTGGTCCCTTGAAGTTTGACTTACAAAGGGTTGAGTGCAATATTTAGTCATTTAGTGTTCGACAAACCATGGAGGACATTTTTGCCAGCGCTGTATCGTGAGTGTGGGAAAAAATCGGTTCACCTTCGCTTTTTTTCCTCCCTTGAAAATTTCTTCCAACCCTCAAGTACAGTAATTGCGGAACAACAAACATAGTAGACGCTTAAAAATCAATAACTCGCTAAAAAATAAAATAAGTTCAATATTCTTATCGAAGTTCGCGACCATGAGCTTCTATTCAATCACTCATAAAAAATATTCTGAAAAACATTACCTTCATATTCGGATCACGCTCCGTCAACGGACGACAGTAAACAGGTACTGGAACCGGTACACTCGACGCACGCTGCGTTTTTTCGGGTGAAGAGCCAGCACTCGCAGATCCTGACGATGCTGTCACGACGCCTTCATCCCCACAAGCTGCAATGGCAGGTGACGACTGCGAAGTCGACAGCCGTGCCGGCAAGCTCCAACCATAGGCTTGCAATCGTCCGTCGTCCTTACGCACATGCGCACGTACTTGCTTGTACTGCTCCCGGCGTTCTAACGCCCGACGTTGTTGTGTCTTGTCACTGGACCCGTCGAGGAAGTCGAGGGAGCGACGGTGGGCATTCCTGTCGGCTAATGTGCGACGTCTCATAGCTTCCAGAGGGGCTGGGGCAACTTGGGAAGACGGCGCGTTGTAGTGAACGTTTCCGTAGGGGAGCGGACGTCTCTGGACTCCTCGTCCGTTACCAGGACTCGGGCCGGGGGAAAATAATCCACTGAAACTGAAATGCCGGACGATTGAAGATTACGTCATTCTGAAACACCAGGGGACAGAATCGCGCGAAAAACGAGCATGCAAAAATAGGTTTTAAAAAGCCAGTAAAAACGCGGCGTTGACAAAAGACGTACAGACATGAGATATTTTCAGCTTTTAAATCCATTGAGCATACTTGAAGAAACGATCGATTGAGCTGAGGGTTTTGAAGGACCAAACATCCCCTCAGAAATTTACAGGTCTAATGAGCTTCATATTCTCCCTTCCTCGAAATATAACCGTCTCTAGAAGGCTAGTTCTGCTCAAAGAAACACTGAAGTAAAATCTCGTTAAAATAAACTCCCAAGGACCTGAAGAAACTCGTCATACAGCATCAAAATTCATGGTTCTCGACATTTACACATGACATTTTGTGGAAAACGGGGTAAAATATATTTTAAAGGGCTTCTTGCAACACATACTGTATATTGAAAACTTGCCAGAATTTCTAACCCTCTCTGATGAAATTCAAAAGGCAATTTTAAAATAAACGCCTCTTGCAAAATTGTAAACCTGCATTGCTTCTAATCATGCGCTGATCTAAAAAAAAGGATACAAAACTCAAAAGTCAGGTATGAGAAGTATGGTACCTCCTTCAAAAGACGTTTATCCAAGCACATCCATTTGTTCTTTGAATAAGAGGTACATTCTTCATGGTATACTGTACTGTTTATTTCAAATTAAAACCATTGCAAAATTCTTTCATGCTCGTCAATAAATTCTAAGAAAAACATCGTGCTGGGTATTTCTTGCAATACTATACCAACATTTATTTAACATTTTGATTTTGTATAAACTTTTGATGGTGCACATGTTGAATTTTTCTCATTTTCTTTACAGAATGAAAAAAAAAACCTCATCGCCCATTCCTAGAAACTACGCGAAAACATTCGTTATGGGATTTCAGCTAAAAACTAGTCCAATAAAACAATATTGTCACATAATTATTCCTACAAAGAAGTGATAGGAAATGGAACAAAATTTTACAACGGAATTTTATCGCATATCTTACATCACAACACGCCTTGCGACATTATTGATGAAGAAAATCTGACGTAAATTGCAATTTTTCATGCTTGTGAAAAGGGCTCAGATTTTTCAGATGCTTTCTGACAACACACTTAATCATCACACCTAGTCTTGCCACATCTGTCATCAACAAACTCAACCGAGGAACACATGCATTCGCTTTAAACATGGCCAACGAGAGATTTGATTCGGAAAAAATAAGGAAGTAAGCCGTTCCAGTAAATTAAACTTAAGCTGGACCCAGGGTTTTAAAATGCATTGGCTCGGGTCGAAAGAAGAGAGAAAACCACGAAATTGATCAGTGATGCTCAAGGTACAAAAAATAAAATTTATACTTCACGATTCACTGCGGAAAGCGTCGAGTAAACCGATTCTCGGCATTTTTTCATTTTAACGTAAGCAGGAAAGCACGCCAAAAAGCAAATTTTCTCCGCTTGAGATACGATTAGTGTACTCACAATTTCCAGATTGATTGCTTTTTGTGCCGCTCAGCTTCCTGCGCGGCATCGTGTTTGGACGCACGAATCATTTCGGTCCATCTGACGGCTTCCTGAAGCTCCATCAACCGTTCTTTGTAATGATTTCGTTCCATCAACACTCGTGCCATTTCCACACGTGTAAAACGCTTTCTTTGCGCCATCGGAATCTCGTCCTAAGAGGGGTACACGGTTATTCAACGAAATTCGATAATGATCGGATGAAAGTGACTCACTTCGTCTTCCGATTTAAGCAGCTTCGCATTAGCCTCAGCAGCTTCTTCTTTCACCTTTTTCAACTCATCTTCGAGATCCTGGATGCGACTTTTTAGCTTCTCTTTCACTGTTTGCAACGAGCCAATCTCTTCTCGTAGAATTTCATGCTCGCTAGAGAAAACAACGAAATTTTGTATTCTTCGAACTTGTGCTCACGAAACACGAACTTACCTCGTAAGTTCATCCACACGTGCTATCAAGTCGTCTTTCACTATGTTCAAGGCATTCCTATAAAACGTAAAACGGCCTTTTCAAATGCTTCGTAATAAAATACGTACGGTGAACTCACTTCGTCGCAAGCAGTTCGTTGTTCTCTTGTATAAGGTTTTCAACTTCCTTTCCCATTCCTGAACAAAGACAACAACCAATTTTTCATGAACCCTACCGAAGTGATCCCATCATTTTTTTTATTAATTCAAAACTAACCCGAAGAGGTACAAATTTGCTCACCAAAAAAGTTATCACTGACTGCGCAGTAGGATTGGCCAAGAGGTACAACACAAGCGCAGCATTGAAAGCAGCAGGGAACCAGCAGCAAGGATTTCAAAAAGAGGGGAAAATACTTTGGCATCAAAATTCACACTCCCGAAAATAACCCACGGAATACGATTCCAACCCCAAGAATCTCAACGTCAGCTATAAACGAAAACGGGAATATACCTGCAAATTTCCTCACAGAAAGTGCAAGAATCACAACCATGAAAAAATAAATGAATAAACAGCAAAGAAGACCATGCCGAAGAGTACAAAATCCAAACTACGGAATTTAGATGAGGCGACGAAAGGTACAGCAAGTGTAACGGAGAAAACAGGAAATGAACCGACATGCAAAATAGCAGGTCTGACGAAATTCAAATCGTTACTCGGAAAGTTGTTCAATGGCTTCATATTCGGAGAAATGGGGAAAAGCAGACAAACATCTTCATGACGGAAAGGCGTTTCCAATTCGAAACGTTTTTTTTTTTTGCTTCTTCAAGACTCGAGGTACATTTCTAGGTTTTAAACCGGGCGCTGTACACACACATGTATACTGTATCTTTCTTTTTTCATAACAATCAATAAAACCCGTACCTGTCTGATACAAGCAACCAGACTTACACACTTCGTCAGATATCTTTGCTTCCCGAACTCTAGCCAATCCCTCCACACAGCAAAATCATGTTTCTTTCTGTCTTTTGTCATTACGATACGTACCTAACGATTCTCCGCGGTTTCGCTCTCGAGCATGTAATGACCCCGGATAGCCATCGTCGTCTCCGTCGGACGAACTCGGGCTTCCGCATTGAAAACCATCGGCCAGAATTGCTGTTACAATTTGCCAGAACAATGGTTGGGATGTCAAGACCATACGAACCAAAACCGACAGAAGAGGTTGCCAACGCAGCAGGAACACGCAAATTCCGGTGAACGCAGAAAAATCAAGACAGGAAGGTCAGGAAATACACGGAGAAAGGAACTTGAAGGAATTTAAGAGATGAAATTCGCGAATAATTGTCCTTAAATGGACATGAAACTGTTAAACTAACTGTAAAAATTATATTGTTTTATTTATTCTTCTGAAATACTTAACCTTGTTTTCCAGAGACGCACGCGGAAATGCGTTTGAAACATGTGTAAATATTATAAGTTTTGATTTCTTTCAAAACACCCCACTTCCGTACATGGAACTACAAAGTGGAAATTAAAATTTCATTACTCAGCATCACGTATTTTTGGTTTTATTTTAACCATTTACATACTATGCTAATGAACGAGGAAAAAAAAAGGCCAAGCGAAAAACCATGCGCAGGGCCTGGATATTACACGCCAAAATAAGCGTATTTCAAGCGCAACTCCTACACAAGCATTTCTTTTAATGCTAAGAATGTAATGTACCGTACCAAACTAGATACAGTAATCCGTGAATAATCTGCACTTTCAGTGCATGAAATGCAGTTGAAAGCTACAAATGACGGGTGCTGGTTGAAACGCAAGAAGTTCATGCATCGTGCGGAAAATAAATCACCATTACACTGACAGCACCGTGACGAAATATGAAAAAAATATTAATGCTACCGTAGGGTGCAAAAAATTAGAGAACAGCGACGAACTGGATACAAACCAGTGGAGGCAAATTCTCCCGGATGCACCCATCCACCTTTTGCGAGGGCAAAAAAATCATACACGAGTTTTGTGAGATGGCAATAGCAGAAGAAAGAACCCGGAGAATAAACAATTGCAAGAAAAGATTACCTGTCATGTCTTCTCCATCTCCCAAGATCTCGTCCTGGAAGCTGAGCTCTTGATATAAAGACGGAGCACGTTCCACGGTATTCCTAAACACACAACAAGGTTTTCACTTTTTTCCTCCATGCACTTCCTTGATCTTTAATACAAACCGTTTCATGTCGAAAACGGGGGGAACACGTCCAGCAGGCTCTGAGAATATTTTCCTGTCGGCTTGTGGCTCGGTCGGAGCTGTTATTTTGGGAGGAAAACATCATGACAACAAACGTTCACAAGCGCAATTTCTTTAATGGTGCACTTCATGCACTGATGTGACCCATTCAAAAAACCTTCTGCCAAAATTTTAAATACATTAACATATCTGTTAGTGTCAAACGCGCACCATTGTTTTCCCAAAAAAGGTAAAGAAAATTTCATTAAAAAAACGCGTTAAATTGTGTGTGTATGCCACCACCTTCTTTCCCCACAACTTTTGGAGTCGTGCACCAGTTAATTCATCGCGTGAAAAATTCACGACTCCTTTGCTTCCCATGTTTCCTGAACTGAACCTAATCGTATCAAGTATAAAAAGTAAGCCCCAACGGATTCGATGGAAAATACGAAGTACTCCTCAAATCTTGACCCAACTACGAAGATTGTTAATAAACTCCAGCGAATATTTCTGGACGTTAGAACCAAAACAAATGAAGCAGCAATTTGATCTTATTGGCAAAATCAATGCAATCTTCCGCAAAACGGAGCAACGCAAATCATACGAATTTCTGGAATATAACAAATTCTAATTGAAAATCCATTGAGGGCATTTGCAGAAAAAACGCACGTTGACTCCTGAATGAAGTAATCTAAAAAAAAAAACAAGCTCACCTAGCTTAAGAATACCTGCTGAGTTTCTAAAATTCAAAAATCAACTGGATTTTGATCTGAAAAGAGGATTTGGAAAATCACATATCTCAATTGAAAGGTGCAAACCCAAAACCACAGTCACTTGCCTCGAAGCTTAAGCGTGAACAATTACCAAAGCCGAATGAGTTGAATGACTAGAAGATTACAAGCAACATCGTCAAACCGACGTAAAATCCGCCAGCGCTTGGTTGAGTGAAGAAAAGGTTAATAAAATTAGTCTAAGAAGTGCGAAGTGCGTACTTGAAGCGCTTGGAAGCTCGTGCTCACTGGAAGTCAATACAGTTTGGCATGCAACAGAGTCAGTTTCTCTCTGACCTCGCGCATCATCGGCAATTTTCGGCATTTCCGAACTAGACTCGAGGTCAGATTCGGTATCTTTCTTCGCCTGCAAACAAAAGCAATAAAATAAAATAAACTCAATTTTCTTACACTAACAGATCGGAGTGCCTACCTGAAACTCGGCTTGTAAATTACGAGGAACTTCTGCTTCTCCAACCGGGACAACATCCACAGGTGACTGAACGCTCTTCACGTTAGGCTGGGATTCAAGAGAAGTAAATCCAAAAGATGCTGACCCCAAGGAACGCAACCCCATTTGCACATTCAACATTTTTGGCTTTCCTGGTCCTCCTAACAAGACAAAATTCGATGACAAACATTAAAAGACGACGCACGACTGAATACTAACCCATTTGCTCAATTCTGTCTACGCCTGCCAAGATTTTTGTCCTCTCCATATAGTCCATATGGGTTTTCAGTAGCTCTGTGTATCTTGAATGAATTCTTTGATATTCGCCTTTCATTTCTTGCTCTTTCTCTTCCAATCTACCAACTGAAACAGAAGAAATGTCATGAAGTACATAAATTGGATAAATGTGCGAAGAGGCAAATTTAGAATACTACCAACCATGATCTGATGAGTTCTTCGATTTAAGTTCGAGCATTCTGACAATCGATTCCAGGGACTCAACTTTACTCTGCAAGTTCTTCCGTTCTTCATCTACGGTGTCCTCTATTTCAAGCGCACGCTGAAAATCAGAAGAATAAACAGGACAGTTATTGGCCCAAATGCAAAAAAATCTTCGGCTGAACAAACCGCTTCGCTTGACTTTCTCAGTTGTTTCTCACGCTCATACTGGGTCACCAATTGCTCGTTATCTTCGCGAAGGAGCTCGAGTTCCACTTCATGCTCTTGATTTTCCGTAAAGGAGAAGTCCAGTACTTCAAGCACGTTTACAACCAGGGGCATGAGATTCTAAACAAGAAAACTATTCATGAGAAAACGTCGAAAACTAAGAAGTCAAGGTTGCAAGATTCAATCAAACTCTTGCACGTACAGGAATGGGGGGAAAGAATTACCTTGACGACATCTTCGTCATACTTCGCTATCATACGTTCGAATTCTTGATAGATTCCACCGGCTAATGTTTGAACCTTATCAGACATTACGCAATGCGAGTCATCCGTCCCCGAGGAGGACGGAGAGCCAGTATAGACCACTTCTTGATTTGACATAACTTCACATTATTCAAGTTACACTACATCTGGAAAATGGAAATTCGAAAACTTCAGACAACCGGTACCCGAAAAAAAACTTTCATCACAAGATATTGCAACACATGCTAATACACTGGAAATTCAGGGTCAACGTCCGATGCCCACGCGTGCAACCCTCCCTTGAGATCTTTCACAACTACAGGTAACTGCTCGAGGGTCTTCTTCAAAGTTTCGACGACGATTTGCGAATCATTTCCTCGCCTGCATACGACGAAAACTGTAAACCAGCAAAAAATTAAAATACTGTACCGCTTGAAATGACTCAAATCTGGAGATGGATACCTGGCAGGGGTTGATCAGGCGAAGAATTACACTCCACGCAACGCTCGGATATCTGCCCGACGTACGATTCATCGCACACTTGTCTCGTTAAGCTGTTAAATGGTAAATTGATTGATCCCGGGATGACACATATGCTCACTTCCGCCTTCGGTCTCACGTCCAACAAAATATGAGGAGACGAGACATCAACAATTCTCTTATACTCCTTGACTTCTACGCGATCAAACTCGTCGAGTAGATCAACATCTGCGTCTTTATCATTGGCAGATGCTCCACAGAGTAATTCATAATCTTGCAGCTCGGTGATAGTTGGACATCTTCCACACACTGAGCAATCCTCCCGACGTTCACGCAGCTTGATTTTACGGAATGAAGAGCTGGCACCGTCAAAAATCATCAATTTTCCACGCAGAGTATCCCCAGTTTTTGTGAGTAGCTTCACTACTTCCAGCGCTTGTAAAGTACCGATTATTCCAGGCACTAGTCAGAAAATTTATTCGGTCAATTCAGAAAATGGACCCAGCCTACTTCGAACAGAATCATCTCACCCATGCCTAAAACGCCACCATCTGAACAATTTGCCACTGTATATGGAGGCGGAGGCTTAGGAAATATGCACCGATAACACGGACCACCATCGGAGTGGTAAACAGTCAATTGCCCATCGTACCTCAACGCACTTCCAGAAACCAGTGGCTTGTTCAGCAAGACGCAGGCATCATTCAAAAGGTAACGAGTAGGAACATTGTCCGAGCAGTCCACCACAATGTCATACGTACTTATGACACCCATGGCATTATCTTTGTTCAAGAGGATTTCATGAGTACGAGTTTCAATCAATGAATTCAACCTACGACGAAGAAAGCTTTCTAATCAATATTCACAAAAGAAATCCAATAATTACACTTGCTTCTTCAGTGATGCTGCTATTGACAATGCCTTATTCATACCGACTTTTTCTTCGTCATGAAGAACTTGCCGGTGAAGATTGTTGATTTCTACGCAGTCGTAGTCCACTAAACCGAGGATTCCTAAGAATATAATTTCGTCTTTATTACAATTATGCTTCTAAAACATAGAACGTCATGCGGGATGGAATTACCAACTCCTGCAGCAGATAGGTAAGAGGCAGTCGGACAGCCAAGTCCCCCACAGCCGACGATCAGTACAGAGGCATTTTTCAAGGCAAGTTGACCTTCGCAAGAACATATTCGTGTTTTTTAGAACTTAAAAGAAAAAAAATGTGCGGAACAACCTTTCACAGCAAAATCTTCCAAAATGAGCTGACGTCCATATCTAGCCACTTCCGCATTACTCAAGTGCGCCATAGCATAATCGTCCTTCATTCCCACAATACGTAGCTTCAGTTGGATGATTTTAATTAATGGGGTCAGTAATTCTGCCTCGTATTATGAACAGGAGCTCTCAGCCACTCACAGAATATCTTGCATCCAGATGGAGTACCACGACCTACCAAGAACAAGTTGCACGGGTGAATCGGTCAAGATTTCTACTTCAGACACCACATTAAGGTAAAAGCTCGGGTCTAGTGTACTTTAGCAATGCCAGTTAAACGCACTGTGCGCGTTCATGCGCGCGTCCATTTTTCAACCCGTGGTGCCCTCTATGTGTACTTTGCTTTCTTACAGCTTCGGAACCAACGTGGACAACAACCCTGGCAAAGACGAAAGAGTGACTTCAAATGCTACATCACCAGGAACTAAGCAGCAAGCGCGACGTCCTTTCTTTGTGTGTCAGTGCGTCTGGGAAGAAATTAAAAACCATGGTGTTTAAACTTGAATATTTTATTTTTAAATCCAAGCGGGGGGTACACTGTGGAGTCCATTTTTATAGATTTAAAAATGCAGTATATAAAGTATATAAGCAGTATATAAAAATACTGTACATGAGTCCTACACACCTGACTCATTAATAAAACATTACCACTCAGCAAAATACATGACAAAATACATACTTTATATGCAATTGCAAAAAATCCATGACAAAAAATTCATCCAAATACATGACAAAAATCCTAACACACCGATGCTATGTAAGTCCAAACACAGAAATACACGACGCGGAGCAAAGCAATAAAAATACATGACGCGGCTCAAA